GTTTTTTGCGCTTGGTTACGACCATGGGCGCCATTGTATTATTTGCTGTTTCTTCAAAAGGGAAATACCACTTACAAAGGCAAAATTTTTAGTCTTAGATGTTAGAATATGTAAATTACGCTCTCCCTGTATGGAGGCCCATCAATCAACGTTATTTTTTCAGATACCGTAAAGGAAGGATCGGAATCCGATATGGAAGGAGATGGAGGTGGTTGAGAAGAAGACCACTTAAATTCCGCTTTGGCCGACGATGGCGATCACTGCGATTTTACCGTGGAAAACCTCGCATAAGATTTAGAGGAAAACTGACAAAACTGCGTATAGCTTACGGTAAATTGCGCTTACTAAACAAAAGAAGATGGACGAGACCAAGGACACGTAGAATGATACGAAGAAGACGACGAAGACGACGAAGAAGAAGGTTAAGGAGGCGAAAAAGACGAGCGAGACGTCGACGCCGACGAAGGGGACGGGGAAAGCGCCGTATACGTCGATGTGTGATGCGTGTAGGATTCAGAGGACGATTCAGGAAGATTTACAGGCGAAGAGGACGATTGATAATGCGCTGGGGAAGAAGATTCAAGAGAGTAAGGTGAGGTTAATTGGACAGCGGGCCGCGAGAATTACAAGGCTACAGAAAAAGTGGACTTGATCTAAAACACAGGCACAGCATTAGGATAAGACCGGTGAAAGAAATCATTATGATTGTGATTTTCTCTGATAATTATGTAAGATCACTTTCACTGAGACTAGGAAACAGCTGAAGTCACCCGACCACTATCAATAAGCTAATTCTTCCCCTCCGAAAAAAAAAAGGATAGCCCTGTCATAGAGTAAACTGAAAGTTACTTTGTTAAAAGCTAACCCTTTGCAAGCTGTCTTTAAATATTCATGAATTCACTCACGGAGACAAGCATGACTATATTTGACTCGGAAACAATGCAATAAAATTTACTAGTTTTTCCCACGCTTGTTTTCAGATACGCTTCACATAACAAAAAGACATGATTAGATTGAAAAGGTGAATGATGGATTTGTAGGACCAATGAGATAAATATCAACTGATATAAAATCACGTCTAGATTATTTTCGGGAGAGTTAAAACATGTCTTGTTTTCCAGGTACAAGTCTCGGAAAGGAAAGATCTCATTCACGTTCAAAGGAAGACGACGCTATATCAAACCTTACATCCGCATCAGAAAGCGATGGTGTCGTATAAGACGACGCAGAGGCAAGATCACTGTTCGTGTACGTGGAAGATACCGTCGATTCAAGCTATTACGCGGAATACCTGCATTTAGGAAAGGTAGGAAATGGCGAAGAATCCGTTACAGAGGTAGGATATCACGAAGACGCCGTCACCAGAGGAGACGTAAATATCTACGCAAATTACGAAAATTACGTCGCTTAAGGCGTTACCGTCGACGAATGAGGCGAAGAAGGAGACGGATACGACGATCCAAGAGACTTAGCAGCTCCTTCATGATCTACTATCGCGGAAAGAGTAGAGTTGTTTTCAGGTGGAAAGGAAGATTGACGTTCCGCCTTGGAGGAAAGCGAAGAAGAATCAGGTAAAAAACAATAAATCGTCCTTTTACCATCAGGACAGTTATACAGCAGGTTACCATCAGGACAGTTATACAGTAGGTGTAGTACCGGAACATTTAAGTACTGCTTTAAAAAATACGATAAAAATGACTTGAAGTAATAAAGCACAGCAAAGGGGAAAAAAATTGCTATGTTTCACATATGAAATGGCATCTTTTACGGCGACGGAAAAAAGTCTTAAGAGTCGCAGTTCAAATGCTCTTAATTAATGAGAGAAATTCGTTTGAAAGAATCGCAGCTCCTTGGACCGATAAGAATGGAGATGTCCGTATTCAGTGTCAGCTAGTAATTCTAATTTTCCAGACATTTGGTGGAATGGCATCCAACTAAATGTTTTGTGAGTGGTATTCCACTGTCATAACTGACTCTCCGAAAGCCTGAAATCAAATACAGATTATAGAACAAAATATTGATGACTATTTCTGAACTCATCTTAATATTTAATTTATAGGTCTCCGACGAAGAGCCATAGCTCATTTCCTTTTCCCTTTCCAACCAATTCTTACGATGTAAAATCCGTAATTAATTGATGTGTTCGACTCTACCTCAAATGTGGCTACATATTTTATCTCATCTCACTTTAGGCTCTCTCGTGGCAAGCTATATTACTATTTCCAACGAGCTTGGAGACATGTTCCGATGAAGAGGTATCGACTCTACGTGTTCAGGAGAAGGATGTGGCGACGAATTGTTATCCAGCGAGGAAAACTTAAGGTTCGCTTTGGTAAACGGTACAGACCAATCTTAGTCAACAATAAGGGTACCTATATGTATCTAAGGAGACGCTGGTTACTTCTAAAACGGCGAAGACGTGTGAAGCCCAAAAGAAGGCCTTGGAGACGCTACAGAAGAAGAAGACGCTACATTGTGATGCGTGTAAATGTTGGAGGACGTTGGAGATCAGTTTACCAAAGAAGAGGAAAGTTCTTCTTCCGTTATCGACGCAAGAATTGTAGCCTAAGGTAAAAGAAGATATATATATATATATATATATATAATGATTTTATTTACGAAAGGCTTTGGCTTAGGTAACACTATGTACCACCTAAATTATCTTAGACAAACTAAGATATGTGGAGGAAACTACATTACCTAGTGTTGTGCTTCCAACGCTGACAGCTAAGAATCGGAGTAACTCCTTTCGACCTACTTTTACTCGCTTACAACTGCATATTCTTGGTTTTTGTATTCTTATCAGATTTGTGCGTGGTTCAGTCTCATACTACTTTGGTCGAAGATGGTATCGAATCAGTTCTACCGCAAGGATAAGAATCCGTGTTAAAGGACGGTTCAGAAGAGTAAAGAGAGTGAGAAGAAATATCAGTGTCCTTTACCGAGGCAAAACCTCGCCAATTCGTTTCATATACGGCAAAATACAATTTTACTACAAGAGGATGTGGCGGCGTATTTCCACTATCCGTGGCAGGCGAGCAAGGAGACGTCAACGGCAAAGAAATGTCAGACGGTATTGGAGACGATTTAGGCGTAGAAGACGAAGGCGTCGACGTCGATACGGAAAGCGCAATGGCAGAATCTTTTTCAGATTGGGTAGAAAATTCTACCTCGTTCGAAGTAAGAAAGGACGGCTCAGCTTCCGTGTCGGCACAAAGTACTATTTCCTGAGGTAGGAGGGCCTCTTGTAACAGTAATTGTTAACACAATCCGGGAACCATAAACTTATTTATCCCAACAATATCATGATTATTTTTTATCAACACCTATGTGAGCATGAAAAAGGTACTACTTTATATTTGATCTATTCGCCTCTGAAAATAAGCAAGGTGCTTTGCTCAAACTTTCGCAATAATTGTAAATTATTCGTATGGGATAACGGAAACAGTGCCTGGTAATTTTCTTCTACAAAACGTCTTCATTCACAATGCTTCATTTTTGCAAATATCCTTTTTCAAGGTTGCGCTAATACACTATTTTACGTTAGACATGTAAATTTTATTACAGCTTACCAATTAAAAATAAGTGCAATGCCATTTATGCTCTCACCGCTAAAATGTGATTCTGCTCATCATCTCATGGAAGAGGGTCGGGCTAAACTCAACGTGTTCGAGGATTCCATGGCGCGCAAACATTGTTCTAGAGGTCACATTTCCAGAGGCTACCTTTTCTAAACAAGTCTCTAAAATTACAATTTTCCTGCTGTTCACAGAATCCGAAACAAAAGAGGTATCTGGTTACGCTCCGGCAGAAAAGCTTGGAGGCTGGTTAGACGACCTCTTAGACGCTTAAAGATGTATATCCGTGGTAAATTACGCTGGATTTATCCACGCAAAGGACGTTTGATGGTCTACTATAGGCGAAGAGGACGACTAGTGCGATTCCGAAGCGGGCGGCCATTTGTCTGGTTCCATCGCAGATGGAGAGGCCTTAGATTAAGATCCAACTACGCGAAAATGAGACTCAAGATTGGAGGCGTTTCAAGGATCATCCACAGAACAAAAGGCCGGTGGACTGTACGTTACAAAGGCAAACTCAGAAGGATCTTACTGCGAGGACGACGATTTGGAATCTTTATCGGAGGAAGATGGAAATATGTGCCTGCAAGGGGAGGAGCCTTGCAGATACGTTATGGGGGAATGTGGCGACGAGTGAGGAACTGTTGCAACAAACTGAAAGCTGTGTTACGTGGCCGTCTTCGACGAATCCGACTTCGGTATGGAAAAGCCAAAATGCGAGGGAAGAAAGGCTGGAGTAGGTTATTGCGCCAAGGGTTTCGCAAATTTCGCCTCAAACGACTGAGAGGTACGTTGTAACACGCGCAATCCTGGGTGGTTCGAAGCTCACGAAATTGATTTCCTGAAGTGTCTTATGTGAATTGGGTCCATATCTGACACTCTCCTTTACTATTACAGTAGTAAAAGAGAACAGAATCTCTCCTTTATCACTACAATTATAGAGAAAACTATAAATATAGACCTTGATGAGAAATAAGACCAAGATTCAGAAATCCTAAATAAAAGGGTATGGGGAGATTTAAGCTGAAAAGTGATTTGTTGATATATGTTATGGATACTGAAATAAGTTTAAAAAAGACACTATAATACTATACACATTTATTAAGATGTCATGAATACTGATTTGATACGCTGTTTGTTATCAATATCTAGACCAACCTGTTGCACAGACTACCATAAAAGAAAGCGACGAACCACAAGAATCTAACACCATCGACCCCAGCCCAACCACAAATAAGACTCCAGGATCGCAAGTTTACGACTCGCCACCCACAGCCGCTGACCAAGAAGTACCACCTCAATCAATTACCGATGAGATCAGCCGGGAGACAGGGTCGACTATGAACGTGAATGACTACCTGTGAGAAGACCAAACGGAACACAGGAAACGGAACCGGACATCGAAAAGGGACAGCTTTAACATCTATTTAACCAACTAACATTCTTTTGTTTTTTTTTCTTTACTTATGGCAGTTAGCAAGATTAACCAAAGACATGTATTTTAAAATTCATGGTCGAACATTATCACACCTTGTTTGACGTACTTTCAAAGCACGTGTTGCACTGCCGATATACTTATAACCTACTTATCCTACTAACAAGTTTCGTTGTTTTCAAAGTTGTTCCTTTGTATAACCAATAAAGGCATTAAAAATTCAGTTGTGTGTGTCATCTTTCGCTTACCCCGGAAGGGACTAGTCATTTTCGATCCACTGTGTGGTAAAACGCTGATCGAACCCTTTCCTTAGCCATGAAATATCGTTATTTCTAGAAAAAATATCTTGTCCGTAAAGCAAATTTTCGACTTCGTGTGAACCTAAGCCTCCATGAAAATGCCTATTTTTGAAACGTGATTGTTATCAATAAAAATATCTTTAGCTCAAATGAATAGCCAGTTAAGAAAACGAAAGTCAAGAACTTTCGATTCAGCTACACTTTTTTCTAGACCGTACCTTCCTTTTAGTTAAAAGTAACTCAATAAGTTGCCCTCGACAAAGGGCAGGCGATACACTCTTCCAACATTAGTCTCTTCAATTAGTATGGAGGATATGATTATGGATGAAATATAGAAGATGAAATGTCACGGAAGACATTGCCATTCTCACTGAGACTTTTTAACTGTCACTTCACACAAAGTTGATCCACAGCAGACGTTGTTGCATCCATCATGTTGCTTGTGTTTTCCTCTGTGGAACTCTCAGCATTATGACGACTTGTGTCCTGATCACAATCCGAAACACGCTTTTGAGACGAATCTTTAATTTTGCTCCTTATGGCGGTAGCATGCTTCAGTGCAATTTGCAGCACTTTCTTTTCGGCTCGTTTCAACCGGATGCACAGTTTTTTGTGGTGTGAGAATTCAGGATTCTCAAGCAACTCAGAGTCCTCCTAAAGTTTAAAAAAAGAAGAAAAAAATTAAGCAGTTTACCATCAAAGTCATTTACCATTCAGAGGGTAAACCAAGTTCGAATACATATGACTTGAAACCAAGGCACTGGCGAGTGATTATCTTTACGCGGGTGATTCGTATAAACTGTTTAACCCTCCAACCCCCAAAAGTAACTAGCATCTAATTTTTCCTTGCAATATCATCCCTGAATCACATTAAATTCGTGAGAACAAAGGAAATGATCACCAACTAAAGAAGCTCTTGATTGTTACACAAATTCTCCTGCTCAGCACCTTAAGAAGTGTATAAAGAACAGTATGGATAATATACATACTGATGTTAAGGTGTAAAGGATAAAGATCCCAACTAATTCCACAGAGCAGAAAGGGAACTCAAATTAAATTATCAGGAAAAATTCCAGCTAAGTGACTCGATCCTGAGTGCTTTAAATTTCAAATTTGGGCTGCTACCCATTTGTCAGCTCTAACCGAGCAGATCGTTCTGTATGTAAATGTTAAAAACCTACACTCCTTTTTAAGTAAGGCCATTAAGTCTTAAAGATTTTAGGCGCAAAACTCGGGGAACATGCGGGAGTTTTGAGCGCCGAATAATGGAGATGATGGTGTAGAATGTAGCCCTTTTCAGTTTTTCAGGGGAAATGACGTCTTTTCCACTGGCAATTTTTCAAAAGGAAATTGGAATACTTCTAACAGTATTCCATTGTTTCGTCTTGCCAAGGGCGAATAATACCGAAAGAAGGAGCTTAAAAAACTGCCCCCCCCCTTCATCGTACATGCAGCGAGCATAGCACAACGCACGACGATGTTCCTGTCTAATGTTCCTACTAATTTCACTCGAGAAAATATTTCTAACTTAGTAGCACTTTGAAGTGTTTGATTTCACCTTAAAAGAATCTACATGCATATAGTGTTTTAAATTACTAAGTCATCCCTATCACCAACAAAGCATAATTTTCTTCCACGAGACCAAACTTACCGAGTCCGTATTTTTGTACTGTTTAAGAAGTAAGGACAGTCGTGTCTCCAGGAACTGCCAACCCTTGTTTTCAGTCTCCTCCTTGACAAATATTTCCTTTTCTGAAAGTTTCTTCAACTCACTTGTGTCTTCATTCGCTTTCATGAGCCACTCTTTTAACTCATCTAGATAAAGTAACACACAAGATTTTCAACAAAATAAACAATGCGTGTGGGCCATCGAAATATTGCAACATTTCACAATGCCATTTACACGCCTCCACGAAATGTAAGACCACTGTCTTTAAGGCATGGAAGGTCACTAGTTAATTGGACGCTGGTGGAATCGATCAAAATCGATCAAAACGAAGCCTTGCAAGAGGAGCCATAAGGAGCCGTGAGCAACAACAAAAAGACTTTTTCAAACCCCGTCATTCGAACTTCAAAAGATCGAACTCCCTAAAACCAGCTCTGTTGGAGTGATACAGATTCTCAAAGGAGACATTGTTCCTCTCCCTTATTTAGTCTCCGCGGCCGTTCGTCGGGATGTCACGCAACGCTCTTATCGTTAGTTTGTTAGAGCGTTGCTTGACATCGCAAAGAAGACTTTCTCCCTTTCATAAGCTGAACGTTTTCTTGGAATATTGTTTATCTTACCTTCAGTCATAGAAAAGATTCTCAAAAAGGTGACCAATTCAGAGTCGAATGGTCTTTCTCCATAACCCACTGGAAACGAATGACTTGACCTGCGAAAAAATGTGTAATATGGGTCTTAATTTCAACCTTTCTTCCTTCACATGCCTTCCCTCTAAAATCATGGTTTAAACGCAAAATAAGACAGACAATCCACAAGCAAATTAAAAAAAAGTGATGGCAATAACAAGAAATCGTCTTCGAAGAGATTTAGACAGTGCTAATTTTTCATACAAGAAAGTGATCCAGTATTTTTAGGTTTAACAACTTCCTGCAAAAACACTTGTGAGCTCACGAGGTTATATATGGATAAATAAACGGCAAAATTGAATCCTTTCCAAAACGTACGCAGTCATTCCCATAGAAGCCAGTAGTCTTTCCTTCATCTGGAATAAGGGATCACTCTTGCTGACGCCCAGCTGGATGGAAACCTTATCGTGGGCGTTTTCCTCAAACACAAACCCATTATGTACCAACAGATCCGCATTGGAACGCTCTCCATAAAAAATGCACACTTGTTCACCTACATGAAAGTCCCTCACAGACATACTTTTGCAGCTATCTTCAGCTAAATCATAGCCAGTCGTTATCTAAGCAAAAAAAATATATATATATACAGAAATTGCTTGTCTACGATACGGGCATACTGACAAAACTTCTAAGATGACTTATACCTCAAGGCCCACATTCCAGCCCTTCTCGACTGAGCCGAAGAGCAGAATGTATGATTTAGTTTTCGAAATAAACTAGGTATGAGGAAAAGAATGTGTTGAGCCAGGCTTTTGTGGTGGATGACGTTTTACTGCTAAATGCCTTCAATTCTAACCCGACTGTTTTTCTTTTTAAGTTTCTAGGATGTGAATAATGGTATCAGACAGATAAACAGAATGAAAAAGACATTAAGATCTATTTTAGCTAAACAAGAACATGGAAAAATTAGAAAAAAAAAGAGCCACTTCCACTATCTTCCTGACTTCTCCTGACTTCCTCAAGGTCTGGAACCCCGAATCACTGTCGTTAATCAAATATATTCCTTAGCACTTGTTTTCTTCATTGTTTCAGGTTGCAGAGCGAAGGAGATGAGCCAAATAAATTGCTTAATAATCTGCAGGGATCACATTTACTCTGCTGTGTGTTCTCTTACCGTGCCATTACAGTGGTTACACATGTCCCACATAGGAATAAGCGCAAGAGTTGGTTCACCTGTGGTGCTTGGGATCTTGTTTTGTCGAGTAGTGACAGTTGACACTGCCCATCTGGAAAAACAATTTTAAGAAGCAACGTCACGCTCACTCGCAATCTTTACCAATATCTTTTCCCATCTTTAAACATTACAGTTCCTCACAAATTTATTTCAGCTATTTTGGAATTTTCGTTCCATACCAAACTACTTTCATCAAATCGCTCTGACGAAGGGTTAATGCTCGAAATGTCGGCTTTGAAACTCTCTACAGTAGCTAATTTACGTTGTCAACTCAGTTAGTAATACTTAATTCCTTTCATCTGGTTTACCTAAAATTGCGGTTAATTTTTCATTTCACAAAGAGCCACTCAAAATTTTGCGAACGGATACAATAAGCATCTGGGAGTACCAGTTAAAAAATCATGGAAGGGCAATCTTTTGACTCAGCCACTTCATTAAAAAGGCTTTGCCTCGAAAAACAACAGAGAATCAGAACCTTTGTTCCAGAACAGGTTTAGGAGTGTGTTAAAGAGGCGGGTTATGGTACTTAACACCTAATTAACCTTTATCAAAATTATGCTGCACAGTAATACCTTGACTTGTTCACAACAAAATCGAACACGTTATTATAAAAGGAACAAGTCAATTCGTTTTTAACTTCCTCAGTCCAGGTCCAAATTTTCCAAGGATTACTTGCTCATTCGTTAAAACAGAACGTCGAAAAGGAGGCAAGTCAATTTTCTTTCAACCAAACTTTCAAGTTTAAAAAATATGTATAAGCATATTTGGGTCAACAGTAACCGCACCCATGTGTATATGATTTTACCTGAAAAATATTGTGTTATGAGTTACTATAATTGAGCAGTGGAATATTGCTGATTATACTTGAACCTTTTCAAGTTCACTCTAAAAGAACTTGGAGCTAAAGATGTCAGACGTACCTGTGATCATCAAAAGTAAAATGTCTTCTAAGTGGAAGCTTAGCCGTTTCTGGACAAACCTATCAACAATCAATTACTTCTGATTAGAATGACAGTTATTAATACTTTAAAACAAGAGGTGATATTTTTTCGATTATTCCACACTTTTGAAGAGGATTGAGTACGAACCGACACAAACTTAGTACGAATCGACTGAGTACGAAATTTCCATGTGTGCGAAACGACTGGATACCCAAAAATGTGAGCTGGCACGCCATACTCACCTGATGAAGACGTTGGTAGAGATAAGAATACTGTCGCGCAATATTTCTGTACAGCTTGAGAGATTCACCTACAACAGATCATTTGGGAGTTGTTGTGTAAGGATATTATTTCCCAGCGGGATTTAAAAAGTAATAATTCATATTGATGAACAATGATGGGACAACTATAGCTAACCACGCCTTGAATCACAGTGAATAAACAACGTAAGTTTCTAGAGAAATTGTGGTACTGCGTCGGCGCGGGAGTATATCAAGAACATTTTGGTTTTATCGACTGAGTTATAAATTGGCCATCGTAAAAAGTTTCAAAGCTAACGCTCGAAACGACAGCTTTGAAACTCTTTACGGTGGCCTATTTATATTATCAACTCAGTTGATGAAACCAAAAGTATTTTGAATCACAATGGTCCAGTAGACCCTTTTATTTGGAATGAGGGTGGTAACTCTTCGTTTTTCTGCTTAAAAAAAAAACCCAGTGTCGACTAGTAATATCAAATCCTCCTACACTATACTACAACTCGTGCATTGCTATAACCCTCAAGACAGAACATGATACTTCCATAGTAAGAAGGGGATGGAGGCATTCCCATAAAACTCGCTGTAGGAAATATCTCCAGGGATATAAGCTATTCTGCTTCTTCTTATATTACTTTGAGCAAATTTTATTAGTAATAACTAGTTATATGCTAACAAAGAGTATAGAGAATCAAGAAATTCAACACAAGATACGGCTAAAATCGTTAGAATTACCCACCAAATGCTGGAGAACCTTTCAATGCCTGCATCTCATCAAGACTAAAGTATAAAGTTGTTGAATACGAAGCTGGAAGAATATCTAAGTACACGCTAAGGAGCTTTCACAGATTGTTTGATGGTATAAAATATGGGTACAATATTTTGCATTCAAATAAGGTTATTTTGATCTGTCAAAATTCTCCTTGACAGTCATTTCCTGTGTCTGTGTCTGTGTCTGTGTCTGTGTCTGTGTCTGTGTCTGTGTCTTCTTATGGCCTCTTTACACTATTCTAAGATCATTTTGAAGCCCAGGTAGAGATTGCTTAAAATAAACATATACACCTAAATTTACACAAATCTGGGTTTCCAGTCCATACAAGCAGGTGGTTTGCTTTAAGACTGACCAGGTCTGTCTTTCCACCAACCAACCCTGAAAACATAGGCTGTAATGATGAGAAATATAAATTGCGTACAGTACTTGAGTATGGGAAAATGGTGATGGATCATAATGAAGGCACAGGAGAAAGGACATTAACATTATGGTTAATTCAATGAAATTTCCAGCTTGAGTTAACTTCTGAAAATGAAAGTAAGCAAATTGCTACCCTACTAGCTAGCCAAGTCAATCTAGGTCCCAGCAAAAGGTTACAAATGCAGTTAGGAGAGTTAACCCTTGCTTAAAAACTTTTTCTACACGAATAATAAAAAAATATTTGACTGTATATAAGAGGAATTACTCTCTGCCTTGATTCAACCCTTGAAGATACCTTGAACCTTACAATTAAGCAGATTCCTATTAAACGAAAATGCAGGAACGCTTTTGGGGGATTAAACTTTTCCTATTTTGTGGACACTGGTGGATCTGAAAATATGAAATCCCACAAACTTTACTTCTCACAATAACAACAACAACAACAACAACAACAACAACAACAACAGTGACCGATATTTCCATTCAGATCTCCTAAAAGTAGAGACTAATAACTTGACAATAATTATCTGCAATTGCTCAACCACAACCCAAAGTCCTACATACATTTACAAGAACCTTACAAACTCAGCTTTCAAGGATACCAAGATATGGTTTCCAGAAGGAGTTCTCCTTCAGTTTTTCACAGTATACATGAAGTACTAAGCAGGCATTTTGCATTACTTTCAGAATGTTGTCCTTGTCAATCAATGGTCCTTCAATAAAACATAAGAAAAAACATGCCATTTCATGTTCTTTGGGATAATCTCAAAGTAGCAGTGTAAATGGAACAAAGAAGGAGTTTACAAGCCACCATGGTGATGATAGGAGGCTTCCATGTAAAGATGGAACAGTTTAAAATTGTGATTTCAAGTTCTTAACCCTTTCATTCCCAGATCTTGTTAGTGATTCTCCAAAGTGTCTCTCATACAATTCTTATGATGTTAGCTTGGAGAATTTGGTGTTGGATCAACTATTAATTCCTACTTGGTATTTTGCAATTTTCAATTTGTATAGAGAAATTCTGTCTCGGTTATTTACAGGAGTTAAAGGTAAAACCAATCTCCACTCTTGTCGCAAAAAAAAATTGGATTTCCTGTGGTCAATTACGTCTGTGTAATAAATCATTTGCACACTATGGCTACCTAGGTCTGAATTTCTTGCAGTCTCTGCTGACATCATCAGTTTTCTTGGTATGGTGATAAAATGTTGTCCTTCCTGAGAAGAGAATACAAAGTGTGTCTGAAATACTGATCCTGACTAAATTACACAAATCAATTTTGAAATCCCATGGACCTGTTTGTACAAGTCATATTCTTAACTACCCAAATGGTATTATCATGAAACATACCATTCAAAAAGAAAAAGAGAAGAACATAAAAACTTGGTAACGGAAGTGAAAAATTTGTTTGAGATCATATGTTAAAGAAAATACTCTCCAACATGTGATAGATTTATAGAAACTTCACAGCTGTGTAAATTTGTTAATCAAATGATGATAGACATTAAGATGCAATTTGAGAATCAGAAGTGACCAACAGTTGGCAAGTAAGGCAAGCTCACTCACAACTATGACTTGTGAAGAGGTCATTAAATATTAAGCAATCAACATACAGGATCTACACTCATGTAACTCCAAAGAGAAAAATGTGCACTGAACAAAAATTATGAAAAAGTAGTTCCAAGTACCAATGAAAGGTGAACATAAATGATTAGTTCTACATGGATTGTAAAAAATATCAAACTAATTAAACCTTTTACTCTCAAGATCACATAAAGTAATTCTCCTCACTGTCTGCCATACAATTCTTATAATGTTAGTTCAGAGAATTTGGTATCAGATCGACTAAAATCTCACATCTGATATTTTTCTCTATTATATGACTTGCCTGATATTGCACTGAAATTGTAAGGGGAAGTTCTCTCTTGGTAACTTATGGCAGTCAAAGGGTTAATAAACAATTATTCCACAAGTGCTTGCTGGATATGAGATAATAGGTAGCCAATGAGGCATTTAGGGCTGAGTTGGCATTAATCGTCTCATGTCCAACAAGCAAGAGTGGAATAATTTTTTTATTAAAAACACCCCAAAATATAGATAAGTCTTCCCGACTTTATTTTGTAAGAACAAATGTTTTGATTTTGAGTTTACCATATTTGTATAGCATCGTATAATGGTTAAGCCTATGAAAACTCTTGAAATGATTATCAAATGATCTAGTTGTTAATAATGTTTCATACTGACTATAAACAATTCTGACCTTTAACCACAAACTATTGTTTTTCACTTTGATATTAATTTTACCAACTCCACAGCTCTACATTTCCTAACCCTAAACCACATCCTGCTTTATTTCAGAATGATAGCCGTACACTAAGTGTTAATTTTCTCTACTAAGAGATCTCTACCTTAATTTCACTGATAGCTTTAAGCCCTAACCCTTGATGGCCAAAGTCATCGATTACCACTGACTCTGCTACCCCACCATTGTCATTGAACCACTGGGTAAAACTTGATATGTGATCTCTTCTGCATTGATCTGAATTTTCAAAGAGTGACTGCCCTAAAACAAAGTATTAGTGACATAATCATTATGAATTTCATAAAAGTGTTAGAAAAAGAAAAATATTGCAGGTGTGATTTATTCCCTATCAAAGTTAATTCTAAATCTTTAAAGTACAATGAGCGTTTTGTACTAAGAAATAATCACCAAATTCATGAAGGAGTTTTCTTTGTTTTTATTTTTTTTTTTGGTCTGTTCATTTCATATGTTATCAACATAAAACTTGAAACTTGATATATAATTTACCAGCTTGTCTCTTTCTTATTGTTTCCACCATTTCACGGAGCTTTACATGTTCCTCCCACTGCTTGACTGGCAATACAGGGGTTTCTAGAGATATAACTAGCCACAACAACAACATATCAATCTCTGACACTAAATTAAATGTGTCAAATAACTTTGAGATATGCAAGAGAGTGCTTTTCAAGTGATTGTCATTCCACAAAGCCAAAGGAATCGCACTTGCTTGTAACCAGAACAATTCAGCTACATAATATAAGGCAAAGGGTTAGATATTTACAACTGTGATATGAAAATTGATGCTCTACTAAATAAAAGTATTTCTTTAGAATGTGACACTTGGTTTTTGAATTGAACTGAATGAAATTAAAAATTTCCAACCAAAAGACAGGAGTTTCTTTTGACCCTTACAAACATTCTATGATAATGCAAATACTACATATTTACTTTAACAACATAACACTAGAATTGTTTGCACTAAAAATTTTAGTACCCTAACTTACGTTCAAATATTCTTTGACATATAGTTAACACCTCCTTGTCCACAACTACATCAGGCAATTGATTTGCAGATTGCTGCATTTTCCTTTTCCCCTTCTTGCCCATAATTGATAGCAAATATCAAGGTGTACCTATAAAATGATGAACGAACACCTATTATTACATTAACATATAACAATTTCCTTTTTGCTATGTTAGGGAACCCTCAGTATAATGTTGGTTTGGATAGGAGAAAGAAAAACTTAGAAAAAATGAAGAATACCGGTATCATTAGGGAATTGGTATGTAATCTGTATAAGGAAACAAATAATTTGGAAAATTTTGGCCAAATTTTTTATGATGCACAAAACAACATCCAGTTCTTTCAAGAATAAAGTAGAAAATACACCATTAAAATCCAGGGTATTGAAATTCAAAACATGATCAAGCTAACTGTCTATTGGTAGAATGTTCTCGTTAGTCAATTGTCCATGGTCAGGATGCCAGTTCCGCAAGGCGTTTTTCTGCTTATATTTCAAGTATATTCCTTTTTTTTCCTCCCACTAGCACAAAACTCTACAAACTTAGCAAAATATATCATTTTATAACAGACAAATCAAAATGAAGTTTTATCTTTTAATCCTGAATTAATGCTTGCAACCTTTTGATAAACCTAATCCAGTATTTTATCAAAATGCCTCCCAAAGAAAACGACAGATTTTGCAACAGCCAGTGAACTTGATACCTCTCATTTTTGTCACTTCACTCCCAAGATATCAATAAGCAATCATTGGATGAATTTGAGCATGATATTATGAATTATCAAAACCAAGGTCTGAGTTATCTGATGGAGCCAGAGGCTGAAGCATGCAACTAAGTTACATGGTTTGCTTATTCATGAGATCATGCAAAAACCAAATTCAATAATTTTTATTCTACCTTACCTTATACCTTAGGCTGTCCTTATACCAAAACATTAACAAGTACTAGCTGATTGTTCTAAAATGATTATATAGGATCCACCCCCTTTACACCACTCAGCAAGGCTCAGTTGGGTAAATTTGACACCCCTCCAACCAGCCCCTCCCCCTCTGAATGCTTGTCCTTAATTGTTGACAATTGTAATGTCAGAAATAAAACATGATACCTTAAAATTAAACCAACAAAATTGAATTTTTTGTAATATTATTCAACTTGGCCACCTATGGGGTCCGCAAGCTTGAATACCACTGCATATATCGCATATCTGTTCCATTTTTTTAAGGTATGCTTTGCAAAATTGATTTAGTTTACCGTTTACATCCGTATTTGCGCCAAGGCCAGGACAAGTAGACATTCCCAGCAAAGATGTTTTGAATGTCCTCTGCCATGATTCAGATTTTTTTCACCAAGGTTATAATATAAACTCTTAATTTACCTCCGTCTGTTATCAATAAAAGGAATTAAAAGAAGGTCGCGTAAAGCTTGGAAAAGTATTTATCGAAACTAAATTTACAGCATGAATTTGAAGCTACGAGCGCAAAAAAAATATTAAGTTAAATAATCCCAGTATATTATACTTACCTCAGAAAATGAGCTAAGATCAGCAGTCTCTTTGTGTCCACTGAGATACAAATTCGTTGCTTTTAGTAAACGAGTAAATTAACGCTGTTGTTCGGATTAGTCCGCCATGTTGAAAATCCTTCTTAGACCCTGAGAGAGTCTGGTACTCAAACAAAGGCTCGCCAACTTCGCTACGAGAAAGATTGGATTTGGTCGGACTGGACTACTTTGGATTGGACTGAAATACATCGGGAACTCTAGCCAGGTACCAAGGATACAGGATACCGGGGTACAGAAAATAGGGACGAGATACGCCCGGACTAAAGATGTCTCAGGTCTGCCCTTAGATTTACTTGCACGTTTGAAAGTCCTAGCCAAGACATATGAAGATTTAACAGTATGTTTACAATAAATTAACTTTTTTTCATCCATCCGATAAAAGGTCCAGCCAAATTGAGAATTATTTAGGGCGCGATTTTTTTAAACAACGGCCAAACTTTGTTAAAACAACCCGCCCCCTGAATTTTAGGAGAAATTTCATCGCTTGTCTTCATGAGCTCTATTCAGCCCCATGACCATTCTGGGATATTGACGTAGCGCTCTTGCGAACAGAGTCTTCAAACAAATTGGAAGCTGATCATTTCTTTTTGTAATATAATCAGGAGATACGATTTATGAAAATTCCATAATTCGTTTGCGGAGTAAAGAACTACAGTATTAGAAAAATCGACGAACTGATGCTCGATATTATCTCTAAGAAATTCTATTGACAAAGAAAAACTATACTGACAATAAAATGCAAGTTAATGGCTTTTACATCTGTCAGAGCTTCCCTTAGTGTGTTCCGGCAAACAATTCGAAGTTTTAAATATTTTCTCAAATGGTCACGACTAACAACTGTGCTTCGAGTTCAGGGTAAAGTTATAATTGTCTGTAACTGCAGGGAAAAAATAAATTTCAACGCGTGCGAGCCCAAATTTTAATGGCATGAAAAAATTAGAGGAAGTTTTTAATCCGATTTTTATGATCTGAAGAGGAAGTGATTCAGAAAACTCTGGAACCGCCAATTAATGCAAAAAAAATGCCGGCATGAGCACGGTAGACTTAGAATCCACTATTATCGTTTGTAAAACGTGCTTACGTAAAACTCTTTGCAAAACTGGATGACATTGTTCTTCAACTTGAGAGCCCTTACACTATTCAGCCGAGCCTCGTTTTTATAGGTTTTTTTCGTAAATGAATTCTTTTTATTTCATACTCTAGATCCACCGTCTTGGTAATAGACTTTTTTGCAAATCAGTGATGGACTTGAACACCAGGACGGCTTCTCTAAACTAAAAGGTGTTTTCAAGATGTAATCTAGAATTTGAGCATCTGTCAAAGAGCAACTTAGTAGTTGGTTGGAACAAATTAAACAAGGCACAGACTGCTTTACTGAAACAATCTGGTGCCTTGTCTTTGAAAAATCCCAATAAAATTTTTAAACCCTGTCTGACGCAGCTAAACGTTTGAGTTGATGTTTCCGCAGGAGACAAACCTCTTTTCTGAGTGGTACCTTACACAGTGTTATGGCAAGAGAACAAAGTCATAAAGAAGTCATTACCAAATATAGTATAATTTAGGTGAGATATCGATATTCCAATAGATAGAAACATTATAAAACAGTTTTGATCATATATCTACTACTAGAAAATTAATATGTTGGATGGAAAGGTTTTTGGCAATTTAATTTGTTTCAATGTTAATGCTGCAAATTATTTTATTTAAAAGCTTTCTGAGTCAATTCAAACAAGAATTGATGCGGTACCGATTACACGTGGCTCGAGGCTTAATTAATTTTGCTTCTCACGGCCTCATACTCAGAAAACAAGAGCAAATCATATTCAATTTAGCCTGCCACTTGCTGAGGAAATTTAGTGAGTAATACTAAACGGTAAAATAGAGTGAGGCTTCCGAAAAAAGTACTGTTACTAATTGGAAAACTCTCGTTGCCTTGGTTTACAAAGCGAATCATCTCATTCGATCTAAAATTAAGTTCTTTAGCTGAGACCTATTATTCCTGCATATTTGTCAGCTACCTGTGTATCAAGAAATACCCTGAGGTAGCTTGTCGGAGTCTTCAGTTTTATTCAGAGTCTACGTAAACAACATTGTCAGATTTCAGTTATAGAAACAACATATTAAATCCCGTTTTCTCGCCAAGACAGTAAATAGTGCCTAACTGTCGCACCATCGAGTAAATGAGACGGTTATTTTCTTCCTCTTGGTAATTGACCAAATGTCTAACTAGATTGAAATATTCCCTTTTTTACTGACAAATCAATATGGAAAATGCATAAATTTTTTTTCGAAATAAATGCAAGATTAACTTTATAGCGTGTTATACAAATGACAAGTTTACAGAGAGCGGGTTCACAATATCTACAGTGGAAACTCAGATCAATTACTTTTTACGGCTAAAGGGGGTAAACAAGTGTGTCACACGTTAGAATTAGTGAGTAGATTTTTTTAAGAACATTTTCATCACATTCGAATGAAATTTAGTGTAAATTTTGTTTCTTTTCCTTGGCGAGTACGTAATTTAACATCTTGAAACTTGTCACAAATTTCTATTGTAAAACTAGAATCCGACCTATATTACCTATTTTATCTCGCTCTTTCGGCGTTAGGAAACTCAAATTAGATGATCCAGTAATAAATTCGTGAAGACGAATGCACGAAATAAAGTGTGATCAAAAACTTAGAAATTAACTATATCAGTGGTAAAATGTCTTTCAGTTTCTTCATAGCAACTGGAAACATTTTTTTTTTGCTAAAAATCTTTCTCTGTTAAAATGACTCACTAGGTTGTTTAAACTGTCTAAACTGGATGCGTACAATATGCGAGGACGAACAAACGACAGGTAATGGTTTTTTTTTCATCTCAGCAATGTAGTAACACGGCTTACAGTTTTCATTATCTATATCAACTTTGACGATATCAACTATCAAGTTGATACTTTTGATCCTCCGCGCGTACGGATACGCGCTAAAACAGTCGCACCATCGATGTAACTATTTTCCCCTCCAGTCACGGTTCCCAAATTGACTTGCGGAGCAACTCTGTTCCTGCGGGAACAACGACACAGCAAAACATCTCGAAATCCTTTACGAAAGTCAGAGTTAAATATCACATAAATAGCAGGATTGATAGCGCTGTTAGCATGTCCCAAAAAATAGCCCATGAATGCCAAAGTACTTGGTGGACCGCAAGGAAAATCCACCTCTCCGTAGAAACTAATAAATTGGGTGATGTACACCGGGAGCCAACACAGTGCAAAAAGAATCACTACGGCAAGAAGCATTTTTAAAACTTTCTTTCTGGATTTGTTGGATCGCTGCTGGTTTTCGGCAGTTTGATTTCCTGGAACTTTTCTCACCCAGAGTTTGTAAATGACGAAGCTATATAGAATTGACATGGTCAGTAGAGGAACCAGGTAAAAAATCACAAAAAGAACTATTGTAAAGCCTTTGTATGCCCCTTCGGTGAATGCTGGTTCCCACTTCTCCGTGCAGGTCCAGCTCTGACTGTATTCGAGAAACACAATTTTTTGGGCGTAAAGAGTCGGTGAATTAACGGCAATACCCACAAGCCAGACCAGTGCCATTGCAACGTACGTTTTCTGAAAAGTCATGCATCTCTTCAAAGGGTACATCACTGCTAGGAAACGGTCAACAGCTATAACTGTCAAACTCAAAACAGAGCTTGCGATCGACAAAGTTTGGCTGAATGGGATTATCTTGCACAAAATATCATACACGACACCATTTGACCAATTGATGCTGCGTCCTGTCACGAGAACTTTTGCAGTGACCGGCATACTGACTATTGTAATCAAGAGATCTGCCACCGCCATATTTACTATCAAATAATTTGTGACAGTTCGCATTTGTCTGTTCAGAATGACGACGCATATGACCAGCACGTTACCGACGAAGGAGCCGAACATGATGATGAAGTACGCAATACACTGAAAAACCTTCTCTGTTGACGTATCAGGCTCAAAAGGACATGGATCCCTTTCGGTAAAATTTGTTATGTTTGGGTCAGCTGTGGCCATCATTTGTGGGTGAAACACGTGCCACGCTCCAACTTCAGCTCGTCCTAATTTGTGATGAGAAGGAAATGTACCTTTTTGAACTCGTTTAACAAGTAGCTGCTAAGTGGATTTAAACACCGCACTCCTTACAGTCTATAAACTTTCCTCTTCAATGAAAATTTGTCCGCCGTTTGCCTGAGTGGTGAAATGCGCTCCGTGATGACCAAACTGAAACAGGGCTTTCTATGTGATTCACTGGAAACCAAACTATAGCCGCGGCTATCAAAACACTATGAGACGCACACCAAAATTAATTTCCATTGTGATAGGTAAACTAACTCCGACAGTTCCGCTCCCTTGTCTTTTAAATTCCTTTGCCTTTGTCGTAGCCTCTGTCTTCGACCTTCGTATTATGATGTAGGTAATTCAATCCTGTTAGCCAGAGTCTATTATGCAGGTCAACTCATGCAAATCCTAATGTGTTAAAATTTATTCGTGTCTTCACATGACACACTTTTTCACCTCTGCTGCGGTTCAGTCTTAGGGATCCTTTGATAATGAATCTCGACGAAATGCAACAATCCGTCCTTCAGTATAGAGGGATACTGTGTGACTTTTCACGTAGCATGTTTATAGTGTACAAAACTACTTCATAACTGATACGTGGTGGTATGCAGGCTAATAACGTGATTAATATTTTGTGGTGGTGACCTTTTAGCCTTTTTGAAAAATAGACCTTCAATGTTTAGGCTGGAAAGTACCCTGTGATCTGTCAAGTTAAGCGCGCTAATGCTAAAGTACTCCTCGATGCACGGAATACTGAACTTCACTGCCAAATAGATTCAATTTAGGCCTGTCCAGTGTTCTTTCTTTGACAACTTAGATTATTATCAAACTACTTAGGCATACCATACTTTGGAACAAAAACTCCAGTACGTTATTCCCGCTGGCTTTCGCCTCTCTCGTTATTAAAGAAACGATGAGATCCGTTTTTTGCCTCTTCCCTGACGATCACTAGGTCAAGGTGTGAAAAAAAAAGATATATTCAATATCAGAGCCACTCGAGCGCCATTTGTTTGTCATGAATTGTTTGAACGAGTTGCCGTGAGAAACGAGGTTGTATAAAGTATTTTGTTGACTTCGAGGTGACGAAAGGTGGATTTCGGTAAACAGAAAGCGGAAAACATTTATGAGTTTTTTTGAAAAACCACCCGTATTCCAAAATATTGACAGTCAAAACGTTTTTAGATTGTGTTGGTGGTACTGATTACCCTTTTCTGAGAAAAAAAATAGCAGGTAATTATTTGGAGAAATTGTTAAAACCAAAAACTCCATTTGTGTTTAATCGTCTTGGGTTTGTAGAAAAAACAGAAAAAATGCACAGTGTTTCAATATCATCCTTTGAGTCAATTTTATGCTAGTTGGTTGAATGGCTTTTTGTGCTGCCGATTATTACGTCAAAGGCGGCATACTGTATAAAGAATACCTTATTTATTCTACGATTAAAATCTTTTCAAAATTCGACCATTGCTTTCAAAGATGACGGCCTATGAGTGATGACTGGATCAAAATTTAATCAAAGCTTCAACTGATGGCATTGTATAAACACTACCGTTGCTAATCACCTGCGGTTATGTTTTTAATTTCGCTGAAGTTTATGAAGTCGGTTGGCTCGCTAATTGTGAGTGAACAACGTTTAACTTTACGTCGCAGGTGCAAGCTGTGAATAGGATCCGATTACCACTAGTCAACTGATGTTTAATGGTTCAAAAATCCTTTAATGTTCCCTTAAACACAACTATTAACGATTGTCACGAACTTGTCAATCGTGGATTCCATTGACAAAGGAATTGTGAGCGGAGGACACTGCTTTCGACAGATGCCAATTGTTCAGTTGTCATGTTTCACCTGGAGGCCGAATATTTATTGCTTGTAGTACATCGAGAACTGTATTTACCCTTTAACCCCCAGAAGTTATCCAAATGTTACTTCTCCTTGCGATCCTAATGTATTATATTACAAACAACATATGAGAATGAACAGGCTCGTCAGCTGGATGGTATTATTGCGATATAAGACAAAAAAATTCTCAGGTGAAATCTCTGAAAGAACACAGGTTTTGGGTCACAATGAGGCCAACCTGAGTGTCTTCACCTAAATATTGTAAAACAAAAAACAAAAAACAACGGTACCAATTATCAGTGATTATAGGCACCTGCTCAAAATAGTTCTCTCAGTCAACTAAATCTCACCCAACAGTTTTGGTTTAAAAAAGAAAAAAATATACATACATATATATATATATATTTAAAATCGAGCAAGCCATGTTGCCGAGATATTTTTGCGATGATACCTCAGTAATCCGACAAAATAATTCCCAATTGGAATTGTTAGAAAAAGATTTTTTTTCGTCCAGCTCGGTTGTAATAACCAAGCTGAATCTCGGCTCGGTATTCGGGCTGAAGGTCCTCATTCGAGCTAATGATTAAAGCTAACTGGGCAATAGCAACATAGCTCATCTGTTGGAAAAGAGAGATTCACGGGATATTAAATAAGGTTCAGGAACTGCCGGGCCTTGCTCATAGTTCTCGCGCTAAAACACATGCTGAGACACGATTACTGCAACCAGTTTTAATTAACAAATTTAAGTGATACAAAAAATTACGCAACAGAAATATTGAAAAGTAGGCATACGTTAAAAGTAAAATAGTATTTTTTTTTTGCTTCTAGTAGAATGAGTTACGTGGTCAACCTTAATTAAAATGAGTAAACACAATGAACCTCAGATGAAATAAGCGAGAATTCTACCAGACGCACCATGTTCACATATCACGATTTTAGTATCGTACATCCTTCACATAAGTAAAGTAAGTTGACAAAGATTTTAATATTGAATGAAGTTCATCCCAGAAACTGTACCAGTTAAAAAGCAAACGAGAAACAAACAAACAGTAAATACGAAAAAAATGGAGGCAAAAAGGAAGCTTGTGCCCCTTTCCTACTTTTTTTTCTCTTATATTGCAATCTAGAGGCAATACCGCATTGTAACTATTCCATTTCTCAGTGTAACCGTGGTAACGCCTTTGGAGCTAAATTGTTTTTTCCTTACACCTGTTCTTCTTATTTCTCGTTTTCCATCCCATTCAAATCTTTCTCAGTTTCAAAGTACTTAACCCTTCAGCTCCCACAAGTGTAACTTATGTAACTTATCCTTAAAATGTCAATACATAACCATTCAAAAGGTGAATGTGAACAGGAAGATTTAGGGTGTAATTCTCTTAACTACTTCACATGAAAAAGTATAACAGCTAGAATGGAGAATTTCAAAGCAGAACTTGGGAGTTGAAAGGTTAACCGACGAACGCACTATACAATAAATAACTCTTTTGCCTCGACCAAACGCTTGTTTGTTCCACTTACAAAATTACATCTGCACTCGTCGCTAAAAATGGACCAGTGTGAAAAGCACCAAGTTTGAGAAGTCTTCTTTGCAACCTCGGTGAATTCGAGGTTTTAATCCGATCTCGTTAAGGGTAAGGCTATAATTGTACCCTTTAAGGTGTTAAAGGTCTTGTTTCCATTTTCTTGCTCTGTTAGGCATGTAAGCCATTCTTTTAATCGGTCTCGATTCCACATACAATATTAGCCTTCGAAGCACACACTGTATGCAGTGTATGTAGGCTGTCTTGTAAACGTAGCTTTGTTCTCATTAGCTTCGTTAATCTGCTCCGAGAGTCCTACAGAGAAAAACGAAGCAACAATACGCCAAAACACTCAACAGTCACACAACTGTCTCCCTTCTCTCTCTCTCTCATTTTCTCATGAACACCCTAGAAAACATTACATAAACACGCTACCCTTTGTAATGAAGGATCGATTGAGTAGTAGAGCAGAATCGGATGGTAAAAGGAAGGGAAATTTACGAGTTAATACAACACGATATAAACAGAGGTCTGTAATGGTGAAGTGAAAAACAAGTAAACTTTGACATGAGTAAGACACCAAATGAGATAAAGAACTAGCGTAATCTTCTTTCTTAAAACTTACAATGACTGAAGAACGCACCAGCAGACTGGCTGACAGACTCATTGACTGCATGACTGACTGATTTACTGACTGATTACCCATCTGGCTGGCTAATCATCTGACTGACTACTCATCTGACTATCTGTCTCTCCGACTTACTGCCTGACGGCATGGCTGAACGAAGAGAAGCTAGAAAGTTGGCTGACGAGTGACTGACTGTATGAACGATCCTCTAACTGACGGGCAGACAGACACACCAACTGACCAGCAGATTGACCGACTGACTACCTACCATCGCCTCCTCTAAAGTTTAAAACGCGAAACAAAAACATAGGACCAAAAGAAGAAACAAAACTGAAACATCCGGCGAAGGATGAGAACAAATGATCACGACACATTCGAAAACAAAGCAAGTTTCTCAGTAACAAGCCATGGGTGGCCTGGACAACAAACACACGAAAATAAAACACGTATGCATAACATAGACAAAGACGAACGAATCAATACAAAAACGATCTGTTCCTGTTTCTTTTAATAAATTAAAAATATAACTAAGAAATACGGTGATTTGTCAAAAAGATAATCAACTCATTGGCTACCGAAGACAGTTGTATCGCCTGAAATTATCTTTCGCGGCAACTAGTAGTAACAGCTGCCAGTGTTCGGGCTTTGTCTGAGAAATACCCTCCCTGCCTGAAATCATATTCGAAAGCTGGTTGTTCTAGAAACCAAAATGCATATAGAAAAGTTTTGAAAAAATGCAAAAAATATATAATTTTCTACTATATAAATAACAATCATCGTGAGTGAACAAATACTTTGCCTTAAATCAAATGATTCCTTTGGTTTTTCAGTCCTGCTGTTGTGGCGGGAAAATCATGTACCTTACCTTTCTGCAGCTTACTGAAATCCAAATTTAACCCGACAATAAAAAAGACAGTCCATTTACATTTTTAACCTTAATGGTGTCCGAAACGGAGCCGGTACAAAACTGTACACCTTGTCACGTTTACCACATTTTCCTTGAACCAAGATTTTTCGTTTCGTTTTCAAACGATCACCTTTATCGAAAAGAACACGAGCACTCATTTACCCAAAAGTGTGTTCAAAAATTCCTCAACTTTGACACCGATTTGTCGGCTCTTGGCTAGAATCTCTTGAACGGCAGATCCATCGCCACCTCGGGCAAGTTCAAACATCAAAAACTGTGAGAGTAAAAGAGGAAAATGAAACCTTGAATTCAAACTCTGAGAAAACTACACACAAACAATCCACAAACAGCAAAGAGGAAACAACTTTAAGTCAACTTTACATCTTTCCAGATAGTTGCGGCAAATGGTAAAATTTCTGCGGCCTGATGGTACATCTTGCGCGCCTAAAAAACACAGACGACTGAGGAAAGCAAACTTTCACCCAACAAAAAGTCCACATTTAGGACAGTTTACGTCGCATAAAGCAATGAAGGGTTACGTCTCTACCCGAGCCAAGTGGCCGGCCGGAGCCTATCCAAGTTTTTGTCGTATGCAGCGACTAAGAGTTCTCCTATTCTCCTTGGATGGGAAGCTTGTCCATCGCAGGTTACTCGTAGTCGCTACTTACCATGGCTACGCTCCAGCTGGATGGGCTAGTTGGCTCGAGTGCACACGATTTTAGACCACAGTGCCTTAAAATTTCAGTGAATCTTAGCTGAACGTTGAAATCCCTAAATGCAGTAGGAAGCAAACACGGCGTCTCGTTACTAAACAACGAGTAGTCCTAAGGAAAAGAAGATTGCCTGGGAATTCAGGAATTGCAATAGAACAAGGTTTCTGATCAAATACATGTACTCAACTAAATAAAACGACTTACCTCCTTATTACAATTCCTTTGTAGCTCAAGGGAAATGGCACTGTTGCAATGGAAAAAAAAGAGAAAAAAAACACACACAATGGAAGGAAGATACAGTCATTTAAATCTGTGTTTATATGATAAATTACCTGGTACAGTCCTTTCAAAGAAAAAAAAAAAGGGGTAAAAACTATCTACTAAACCCAAACAATGTTCTACATTTGACAGAGAATGCAAAATACTTTTTTCTACCGCGGTTCTTAACAATCCTAGCAATAAGCTCGTAAAAACTCTCCGTTTTAAAGCAAATTAAACAGATGCGAATGGTACACTTTCCACATGCTTATACTGTAAGGATTGCTTGAGAGGAAAGATGCACTGATCCTTTTTGCTTGGTCGTAATTTTTACTCTCTACCTCATGCTGACAAGCCCTGAAAAAATTAACAAACAACAATATAAAACATAACTCGAACAATCAAGCGAGTAATTCACCCTTCCTGCTGCCACACATGAAATTTTAGACTGCATGTAGTTTATTGTCGGTTGGTCTGGTGCATCTTTGCATCTGTGCATCTGTGCACATGTTTGTTGAATTATATATCAAAATTGTGAGGAAATTCTGCGCGTTTATTTCTTCTGGAAATAGAACTTTAACGCATTTTTGAACGAAAATCAAACTAACGGCAATGCATTCCGACATGCATAGACAGTTACAATATAGTTCCTGGTTTAAACCTCAAGGGCGCTCCCAAGAAAAATTTGGTTCATAAATAGCAAGTTTGTATATTATACATAGATATACGTACCGTAGTGCTAACATAACATTCCCAGGAAAAATCCTCAAGTAATTTTGAAATACGGATGACCAGGATGACTGTGGATGGCAGCTCAAAGACAAACTGATTATCTGCAAAATTAGTAGCAACAATAACAACTGCCTTTCATACAGCGCGTTATTAAGTTCTGTCTTCTACAACTGACCGACCAACTGACCATTCAAATTTTATGAACGCATTTTAGCGAGATTAAGAAGAACCTTTACCTATACTATTGTTAACATTCCCACCATCACAAGTCCGGTAGAGCTTGTATCTAAGGGTTCCCTTAGATAAAGAATTCCTACGGAAGACTAGCGGTTAAGTTGTCCAAACGTCGCGGTCATGAAACAAACTATTCGACATTCATTTATCTAAATAGGCACGTACATCAAAGACGTATTTCAAAGTATGAACTCACCTGATTGTGAAATCTGTAATCCCGCCAGACAGCGCTTGAAGAATGAGGCAGAGAACTGCTGGTACTCACAGACATTAAACATCTGTTAACCAACTCGTCCATGGAGTGTCTGTCATGTAACGCTTTGGATCTCTGATAGAACAGGTACTCAGTCCACAGTACCTGCACATCATGTCTGGGTAGAGGGCTATGCACTGCAGTTTCAAATGCTGCCTCGGGAGTTAAGTTTCCCCATGAAGTATTTGGTGGAGGAGCAATCTCTAGTAACAAGCTGGCGGTTTGAAAGGGAACATCAAGTCGTAAGCCTTAGGGAGCCAATTATTTACAAAGAGTAGATCTATTTGATGGGCATTAGTGGGGAGAAACGCGAGTTAAAAAAGATCACCATTAGTTTTAGTTTTGCTTCTGATTGGCCGAGGAAGTGGTGACAATTTCCTATGCCAGTCATAGAGTAGTAAATGACGCAATACCTGTGCAATTCCAGATACATGTAACTTTCAATGATCAATTTAAAAATGCGCTGAGCTCAGAAAGCAGTTCTCAATTTGCATGCATTTCAATAACTTACCAATAAGATAACCAGAGAAAGACCTTTTCTCTGCCCAGACTTTGTGGGTCAACTCCTGGCAACAGAGGTGGACACTTGTAGTCATAAGGGAGGGGCAGGGATAGGAGTCGACGATACAACGCAACAGGATCACCAGCCTGGTCCTCTGCAGAAACAGCAGCCAAGCTTTGTACCTCGCATCCTTGTGATTCTTTCTTCGCCGCAAACTTGTTACGAACACTCTTGATGAGAACTGATACGGCCTTCTGGACTTCGTTCTGTTGATTTTGTTTTTCAAAACAAGGTGAGAGCCAATATAAATAAAACTACATGTACCGATCGTTCAGCACGCAGGCATGATATTTCATACGTGCTAGGAGAGCACTAAAAACCGCCTTAACACTAAAGAAGCTTTTACATCACTTCGGTCTGGCTCGTTCTCTCCCAAGGTAACGTAACTGGATTTTTATGCAAGTAAAGCAGTAGAAAAAGGGGTCCGTGGTTAATTTCTCTTTAATAGCCAACAAGAATAACACCTTCTTCGTTAAAAACAACAACAAAAACCACAAAAAAACTATCAAAGCTGGTGAAGTTTGTGCTTAAACTTGACCCTGGCAGGTTGACACCGAACCCTTTAATCTAAGCCTTAGCAGCAAGTGAGATCATAGAGAGTGAATGAAATTCAAACTAATATGTTCACATTTGGAATAGAAGGGAAACACACCACACACTGTTACAGATGATAGTGTATTCAGAGAAGGATCTTTGGGGGACCACCCACTTATGAGTCATTCACAGAGAGAGCTCATCTTGCAGCAATTGTCTAGTTTAATATTTGACACAGGTTATGTAAGCACCAAAAGGTTACAGTACTCTGGACAGTTGACTGACCTGCTGAAGGTAAAAGCGTGCTGCACTGTAAGACAACTCAGCACTGGCTCCACACTTTTCCAGCGCCTCTATGCACACCTGTTCTGCATGTCCACCCTTCTCCGGCGAGTCTTCAAGTGCTGCAAGACACTGCCACAGCATCACTGAAGTTGGATGGTCCTTTAGCAGATGGCGACAGATTTCTCTGGCAGAGTCAACTCTTCCATATGCTCTCTCCAAAGCAATGAGGTTCTTGTAAAGTGGAAGGCAAATGGCAAATTTGTCAACGGGAGGTTTTGCTACTTCACCACAAGCTTTCAATGCATCTGGTAAAGGAAGAGAAAGGAAATTAGCAAGCATTGTTACTCACTGAATCTAACTCCTAGATCAGAACAATTTTACAACTTTTAAAATTGTCGAAAATATTCCTACAATACGTGTTATCTCTCCAACACGGATGACAACTTAACTATTGGCAGGTTCCGGTACAGGAATTATTTCACCGTTCGGGTGAAAATTAATGGCTACCTGATCTGACTACTTCCATACATTTTTAATTACCAACTGGGTTCATTGAAATATCTTTGTAAGTACAGGATAAGTGTATGGCAAGGTGGAGGACTATTGAAACGATGCACAGTTTATCCTCTCACTACAAAGATCTGGATATTCTGAGGCATTTGGCATTTCCGTCTCTCTTCTGAATCGCGCATTTTTAAGGATACGTCGGACAACCACTTAGGCGTAAGGAAACGGTTACAGGATAGAGACACTATTCTACCTTGAAACAACACCCGTAACTTCTTTCCAGGGGCTCTCGATTGCTGCGATGGTTTCCACGGGAAAACAAAGTTTTCCTTTGTCACCATCTTGGAAGGTTCACCACGACTAGGATCAAACCATGGGGAAGGAAGACGGTGGAATTCAACCACATGTATATATCCTAACCAAGCACAACAATAGTCTGAGGCCAACAGAAAGCTGGACAATTCTGGAACATCACCATGATCGTGAGTTTTCTTAGTTAGAGCCGATTTGAACACAAGTACAGCTGACGCGTAATGTCCAGAATAGAGTTCTAGTTGAACGAGGTAAAGCAATGTTTCCAGGATAAAGTGAGAACGAAGCTCCACTGGATAAATGGGATTTAATGTCAGAAAAGAGATAAGACGTATACAAACATTCCTCTTATCAATGTACGTTCGCGAATACTCCAAATACTTCCACCAAACACTGTAGGTGGGAGAAAACTCCACAGCTTGGTCACAGATCTCGTTGAGCTCCTCTCTACTGCTCTGTGAAGAATATAACTCCAAGTACTCTAACCATAACTCCTACAGGAAAAACAAAGACATATGGAGCAAAGTTTTCACTGCTTTCCATAAAACAGATGACAATCCAGTCCAATCAGAAAAGTCGAGAAAAATAACCGAAAGCAATCATTTCCTGTGTAATTGTTGTTTAGGTGGGGTTTTACCCAGGATGCCGAGCTGTGAAGAAAGACCTCTTTGAAGTCTAATTACTGTTGACACATACTCAGTACATGTAGATAAGCATATTCTAATCTCTGCACACGTGTGAATACTTGTAAACTCCGTGGGCAGAAAGGAACTATGGATGATTGTTTACAAAACACAGTAGTCTAAAATTACAAAATTAAAAAAATTAAAGGGCAAAGTTGTAAATTCTATGCTGTCACTAAATAAACGCTGGTACAATTGTAATCACATAAATAATGAAATCAGGAAACTAGAAACACATTAAAAAACAAAGCATGAGCCCTTCATGATCACACATATGCATCGTCATTTTCTCAGGTCGCATTATTTTGTTGACTGCCTCCGTCTCAGTTTTGTACAATAACTATTAATACCTGTGTTAGGTAACCTCAGAATGTGCACACAGTCCAAACTACAGTGTACTATAAAATGTACAGGTTGCTTTTGGTTAGGCGTATATTACCCATACTGTTCTCTATAACTTTCCTAAGGCACTGACAAGGATAATTTGTTTAACAAGCAAGGGCCTCTTAAGTTGGTGATCATTTCCTTTATTCTCGATAACGTAATGTTTGATTCAGGGATGATATTTTAAGGAGAAATTAGATTCTAGTCACTCTTAGGGGTCATTACTAATCATTTAAAGCTCATTGTCATACCTCTGACTGATTATTTTCCTCCAATCCTCTGGAAAGTGTACTGAGTGCCTGCATAACATTATTGTTGTAAGTGTCCTCCTCTTCCCCTTCAGCAGTGCTGTTGCTTTGATGAAGTTTCAGTCTTGCTAACTTGAGCCATAGAGCCACATCACCAGGAGAATTTTCTAACGATGTTTCGAGAGATTCAATGTTGTCGTACTCCTCCGAAAAGTAGCGTATTTCTTGACTACAAAAGGGAAGATGACGATCAATCAAAATTTCCTAGACAGACTAAACTACATTTAGTTTAAGAACCCAAAGAAAATGTCCCTGTCTAAATGAGCTCTCCGCTGTCATAACCCCAAAAGGGGTAAACACCTTTTTCCAGCCAAAGCTAGAAATGTTAGCTGGCCTTTTTGCATGAAATACATGGTGCAAAAGTGTATATGCAAATGCATTTTGGGTAAAGATGCTCTCTTTCCTTAGGCACTAAAATTTGATGGCATGGAATACAGAAAAAAAAAACAGTTCAAACAACAGTAGTTAACAGGTGTTTTACCAGAATTAATTGAAACCTACAGCATGCTCATACCTGTAATGACTAAAGTGTACCTGTTTGTCCTTAAAACAAAATACAGTACATCTATCTGTTACTCACCTTTCCTCGCCAGAAACCCTCAATTGATGTCCTACAGACTTGCTGTTTTTGGATGCTACACCGTGAACTTTATCTCTGTTGGTAAAATTTATTCCCTTCCCTATATCAGAAACTACTGCTTCATCTTCATATTCAATCTTTTTCTTATCAGTCTTTTGAAGCTTCCAAGTGCGTGGTTGAAGGCAGATGTTAAAAGGTCCATTTTCTTTCCTACTCTTCCTCACATCATTAACCAATAAAATACAAATTTCGTCCCACGACATTTTGTCTTGATATTGCTTTGCGAAAGCCTTTGTAAAAGATTCAACATTCTCTTGCATCTCCTTCACATCTTTAAAATCTGCAGTGAGGTTTGGATTGTAAGCCGCCAAATCCTGAAGTATTTCTTCTTGTGACATCTTGCATTTGACAAAGTGTTGGAATTTACAGTCATCGTCATTACATTTGCCTTGCAAGTCAAAGTTGCAAAGAGGCCATGTAGGATCCAATTTATTGGAGAATGTTAAAGAAGTAAGGGAAAGTTCATCTTTGAGTCTGAAATACGGGCTCAACCTGAAAAAACAAAACCTCGTTTTGACCGCTGGTAGTTCATGTCCCTTTGGTGGCCCTTACAAATATCGTATCAAAACGTACAAGACGCTTCAGTAAAACTCAGTCAATTTTTCGTCAGCGGCTTGACAGAACAAGCCCCAACACATAATTATTCCTCAATAATTAAATGTGTGTATGCTCTCGAAACCAACTTTTTTCATCTCCACCATTAAAAAGTACAGGAGACAAAATTTACCGCTTATCAAGTTTTAACATTCCAAAGAGCACCTAAACCATTCAAACGTACTTTAATTTTAAGGGTCAAGAAATAAGCAACTTTGTGATTGCCACCACAATTAACAATATTCCCGAAATAGTTTTCCAAACAACGCAACGTATACCTGTAAATAGGTATTCACTGGTGTTTTACAACAAATTTACAATAGGTATATGAACCCCTCGTGATATTTTTTTCAGTTTCTTCCCACAAGTGCAGGTAAGTGTCTAATCATGAAATAGATTTAAAAATTTCGGTTTGTAGATAACCATACCACGTATCTAATGAGGGAGAAAAATTCCAACCGTTAGAAAATTTGAGACTTTTTACCTTGGCTTTAGCCTATCTTAATCTGTTTGTTTATTTGGGAAATAATTGCAATGTTTGAGGTTTCACCTGTATGACTTGAAGTGCAACAATTTACTGCGGTATTTTCCAAAGGGCAGAGGAGCCACTTCATAATCATTTCTTCTTCTGATCTCTCCAGCTGCTAATTCAGTGCTTCTTTCCTCCCCCTTTGTCAAGTTGTCCTGCTCGCTTACTAAACTTTTAAGCTCATAGCCAAAGGGTAAGCAAACACAGTGGCTGGAACGCTTATCCGCTGTCAGTGGGATATTAAGAGTGCAAGCAGGAAACTGAGGACCTATCTTTTCCTTTTCAGCCTGATTAAAAAAAAAACAGGAAACATCAGTGTATTAGCGTTTTTCTTGGTAGAATTTGTGATGCGGGTAACTGAATATGAATTACATAAGTCTAGTCTTTATGAGGCAACTAGATAAACGTAAGCATGAAGTACTGTGGTACCTAAGTAGTAGAACACAATGTCTGAGGAAGACTAGCATAACACAGTCAAAATGACAAGACCCATATAAGAAGTGATCAGACTGAGAGACAAATGGTACCATACAACACTACTATACGAGCAGATCATCTTCCCGTGCCACTGTACAGAACCATGGAACTCCTAATACTATCTGAATGAACTTAGATCATTATTCCAATGTAACAAGTAAAAAATAATGATACATGGACAAGAAATACCTTACACTATCTAGGGCTGATACATACTGAAATCCCTTTCTTGAAACAAATAGGTAACCTTTGATCACAGGTAATGTACCAATTGTGTGTTCATTTACAGTTCTTGAGGCACTTTACCAATATGTGACTCCACCTAAATTAATCAGAACAGACATTTAAAACTAAATCATTTACCTGCAATTTTCTCACGTGTTCCAATTGCTGGTTAGTTATGTCCAACGCAAATGTTGTTGGTGTTTTGCCATCTATAAAAGGTGTGGCCTCTGGGAGAAACTGACCATTTGCTCCCCTTGAATCAAAACCTTGTCCCTGTGACTCATGATGACTTGTATTATCGCAACTTGTACCAGCTTTAGGTTTCTTCTCCTTTATCTCTATTGCCTTGGCATCAGAACTGTCTGTGATACTCTGAAGTACTTCTCCTGATGCCTTTAAAGCAGAGTCTCTGTCTCCTTCACGTTCTCTTCCAAACTGTTTGAGTTTTTCAGAAAGCTCGTGCTCAAGTTTTTTCAACCTGGCTTTTTCCTGAGCAATACGTTCTGCCACAGGTGATTTTTTTGGAGTATTGGTTGCTGAATTTGCTGGACTTCCCTGAGGTGTTTTGAGTACTTGCTTTGCTTTCTTGGCCAACTAAACGGAGGGAGAAAGAAAGCATGATGAATAACAATACACCAAGACAGATAAACAGAATTACCTCTCTATGATGTAAAATGTGGACTTCTACTGTACGTCTATAGACTCATACAGTATACAGACTAAGACAAATTACTCATAACTACCTACAAATGAGGTAGACTAATTTCCATTAAGTGGTTGATTTTTTGTTATTTTTATGCCTTTTTTTTTCATTTGGTACATGAAGATGAAAAACTTGTACTAGGTACTTTTCAATTTGATTAATTCAACCTTTTAGGGAAAAGGAAATTAGTGCAGCTATTGAATAAGTATCTATATGAAATAATAGATGCCTTCAAAATAAAGGGTGTTCAATAATTTGAAGCAGTTTCACATGTCAGTTCCAACGAGGCAAATACAAAAACTTCAATACCTTCACTAACAATAAACACAATAATTATTGTTGCAACACAAATTCAAAATAACAATATCAGGAACTCACAATTCCTTCTGAGGATGATTCACTGACATCAAGTTTTCTCTTCATTGTTATTTCCTGTTTTGTGAAGGTGGACAGTTTTTCAAGTTTAGCCTCTAGTGAGTTTTTGATCTCCCAAGCAGCAGCTGGACTAATTGTGAATTTCTGGTTTTCATTGCTGACATTGCCCAGCAATTCCACTTGAGGGCTATTTCGCCCAGACCCTGCTTCCCCTGCCATGGGCATTTTCCTTTTCACTGCTGAAATAATACTTTTGGCTCTGAGGAGTTCCTCTTCAAAGCTACTTGAAGCAAGTTGTCTCTTGCCAAGTCTATCTTTGACCAGCTTTGTCCTTGATCTGAGCTTATTCATAAAAATCTTATTGGCAAGACTAACTTTCTGAGCAGCCTCAAGTTCCTTTTGAAGTTTTCGCACATTTTCCTCTTGAGCCGCAAGAGAATGCTTTCTCTGAAGAAGCTCACTCAACAGTTTATTCAGAGTGACCTTTTCTTTTTGGATAACCTTCCTATGAAAAAAAAGATAACACATATTCTTGTAAGAAATCTGCCCTTGGCTCAAGCTTGCTTGACGGGCTTTAAATGGGTATTTGTTACAGTGCCTTTAATCCTTTCATGCTCAGAGCTGATCAGTAGATTTTTCTTATTGAATTAGTGATAATAGAATCATCAACAATGGGTCATCGGCTTGTTACGACACCAAATTCTCAGCACTGGTCAATGGAGAAAGGAAAGCTCTCATATCTTGGGACTGAAAGGGTTAAAGGAATAAATCATTACAAATTAATGTATACAAATTACCCCCATGTATCAGCACCACAACTGATTTTGAGATAACAACTTACTTATGCTTAGCAAGATTCTCTTCACAACCAGTGACATAACTGTGTAGTTCTTTCAAATGACTGTCATCCTCTTTTATTTCATTTCTTTCTTCATTTTCAGGTGTTACAGGTAGTGACATGGCTTCTATGAAGAAGAGATAGGCAGGCTCTTAAAACAAAATGTGGCTTTTATGTTCTGCATTAATGTTGAAGAAAAGATAAGCCGGTTTAGTTGTCAGCCTCTTAAAACAAAATGTGGTTTTTATGTTCTGCATTAATGTTACAAGCAAGCCTCTCTACCAAATTTGTTTACAATTACCTTTACTCAATGGGGCTAGTCTGCATTTTTGGAAAAGATTGATTTCAGATATCAAAACTCAAGCCAGTCAAGTTATAGTCACCTCAAACTCTGTACATGTGATTGGCAGAAAGTTACATACATAAAAATATAGTGCACATAACAAACCCAACAACCAAAATCTTCTTTGCATGGGGATACTATCACAGGTTTGCTTAGTCTTCGTTATTTGCTTGAAACCCTTTCAAATTTTTGTAATTTAACTATTAATAACACTAGGCAAACACCTACCTCCTTTTACTTTAGCTTACTTTTGATTCCTTGAGTATTATATGAAGTTGAAGTGGGTGTCACATTATTACAGTTACCTTTTTCCTGATTAACAGTAGTAAGTGGCTGTCTTGTTTTACTCTCATGCAAGGCTAGTTGTTCCTTCAGTCTTTTGTACTCTGTCTTCATTTGCTCTGGCATGTGAGCCATTGCATCTGGAGTGGTTGGTTCTGGTGACACATGGTCTGTTTTTCCTTTCTGTGTTCCTTCACCAGCATGTGATTTTTCTGTTGCTTTCACTTTAGAGGCCTTGAAATGGAAAAGTGACAGTTAAAAAAAGTATCCTGAGCCAGGCGCAAACCAAAGGGCAGACCACTAAAGTTGCCCCATAATTTTATATGCCATCAAATTGGTGAAGTGAGTTTTTTCATACAAGACTGACTCACATAGCTGCAAGAACTCAGTCATGTCTCTAATGCAAGAAGAGACAATTACAAAGGCTATTCACCAAGATGGAATAAACTTCACTGCAGGTCACATTCTTGTATTTTGTTGGTGCCCATTTGCAGCTGGGAGAAGGAAATACTGCAATATTGAGTGAAGTGTCTTACCAAAACATACAAAGCAGTGCTGAAGCCAGGAGTTAACTGACCAGCATGCAAGCCATCAGAGAAGCATGTCATCCACTCTTGTGATACATTGACTTACACTCAACATAGTTGAATGTGCAAACCAAATCACTGTTATTGTGCCAACCCAAACCCCTTGAGAAGAACAAAAGCTTAAGGTGCTAATAAAAATCAATAGAGTTTTTTACCTCAGCAGACTTCCTGGCTTCCTTAATCATCATTTCTAGTCCTCCAAATAAGCCTCCACCCACAGATTTTTTCTTGTTTGGGACAGATTTTTTGACAGATTCTGTATCAGATGCATCAGATTCATCACTGTCAGAATCCTCTCCTAGCTTAATTACCACAGGGTCATGTTTAGGAGGAGCAACAAATGCCACCTACATCCACATAGAAGGAGAGAAACATAAAAATGATACACATTTTCAACATTAGTTCTCATTTTCTTTAATTGTTCACCTGTAACACAAAGCCTTACGGTTACATGTAAGTATGGAGTATAAGTTATAGAAGACAACATTTTTATCATTATTTGACATTTATGAAGGTTCAAAGCCTCTTACTATAGCCCTGCTATGTTTGAGTGGATCATGATTAATGTCTTTGTAAGCATGCATAAAATATGTTTCACTTTCAAAACATAGGCAGAAGTATTGATGGGTAGGTGCCATAAAGGTAGGAACAAAGCAAGGCACTACAATTACAAAAGAAAAGAAACTAGTGTATGAAAAGTATAGTTCCCAAAATGTGAGATGAAGGGAGGGATGAAAACAAAAAAAAATTGGCAAAAATTAAGCAAAATTTCATGGCAATGCACTTGCATTGCGAAAACACTGCCAATGTTGTAACATTGAATAGACACAATAAGAACAAATTAGGAAAACACAAATTCATCCATTAAGAGATAATTATGATCATAATACCTGTCTGGAATCCTGTTGCTGTTTTACTTGTTTTACAGCGTTTGTTGTTATTTTTGATGCCTTTGGGCTTTGACTCTTAGAACCTGACCCATTCTTGACAGATTCTTCCCCCTTCTACAAAAACATGAAGAAAATGCCTCTTTTAAGGAAAACTTAACCTGCTGACATTGGTAATATTCCTAAACTTACTGGGTCATTGGTATAAATACATCCTTTTAAAGGTAAATGTATAACACCCAAAAAGAGTACACTGTATACAATATTTGTTGTATATTGGCAAGCTTCTTCACAGTACTTAATATGAAAAAGTACATAATACACATTGTGGTAGCATAGCATGGTTACAGTGCTCAAGTGTAAAAATCATGTATGAAAAGTCTCTACTAGGAGCAGCATGAGACTGCTATCAAGATCTTTGTTGCATTTTAACACAACTTTTGCCCCAGGGAGCAGGAATTTAGGCAAACCAATCCTCAAAAGTTCAAGTTCAGGGGTTGCCTTTATCAATTCAAATTGATAGATGCATAAATTAATGAAATATGTTTTACCCCAGCATCAATTTTAGCCTTCCTTTTTACTGCTAAAGATTTTAGCAGCTGTTCCCTGAGGGCAACTTCATCATCCTCATCTGAATTGTCTTGACTTGAAACATCCCTACTATCAATCTGTGGCAGCTCCTTGGTGCTTTCGACCTCTAATGGATGTGACTCCTTGCCCAAAATTTCTACAAGAAAGTTTATTACACACTTTACTTCAAACCTTCTGCATGAGAAGTACACTCATGCTTTGAAAATCATTTCAATTTAGGTTTTTTTTGGGTCTATTATTGTCAACACATACTATAAGAGGTTAAAAACAAACACTTAAGGAAAAACTGACGCCTAACAAAGTGGAAAAAAAGGACTGTCCACTACCATATTAATAGAGGTTGAAACTTGAAATTAATGGCCAAACAAGGAAGATTGTTCCCAAAACTGCAAAGTAGCTCAAGTTCAAAGAGTTTCATAATAGAGTATGGATCATAACCAACCCAAAAGTCAAGATAAGTTACTCACTGGAGAGAGGTGCCTGATGGACAACAGGATTTGCAAGAATATTTACAGACCTTGATATTGAAAGTGTTGGTCCTCATGGCCTGCCGCCATTAATGGAGCTGAACCAGCAAACCAGTCACCATAGTTCTGTTGGGAAAGAAGTCATTCGTAGAAAATGAATTCCCAGAATTCCTCAAGTTTCTTTTTTTTAACAGAGGGGGTATAAATGTGACATATAGTATAACAATTGTGCAAGTTTTAATTTTCACTTATTTGAAGGGTTTAGTTGATCTGAAAATCAAAATAAGTCCCTGGAGAAAGAAAAGCCCACCAAATAACAAACTGCAATAATAATTAACCCAAGTTCAGTACAAAAAACAATTCCTGGGGATTAAGTCAAGGGCAAGGATAAAATATACTGTTTCTGTCCTTTTAGACAGTATGCTCTTCAGATTCAAGATTTACATTCTCTATGTTTTGTGTCAGTCAAGAAAAAACCAAGAACTTACCTGGATATATCCTGTTGGGTACATCTGTAAACAGGAGTAATAAAATTTAAGAATGTGAGGACAGAGGAATTTGAGAAGAGAGAAATTGACTTAACATAAGCTGGCTCAACAACAAATGAACAAACAAAACACTAATAATGGACATGCAAGATTAACATGATACATACTCATAATCTTACAATTCCACACTCAGTGTAGAAAAACTCACCATAAGTGATGACTGCCCAGGATCCGCATAAAGAGAAGCTGTTGTCATGAGATCAGAACAAGAAAATTCCCTTTAACAACTTCAAAAAAAATCTTCAAATTAACTCTTCACATGATATATGAAATCAAGACATGTTAAGTAATAAACTGTCTCTATTAAAATAAAGATATCCTGTGGTACAAAGTATTGCTGTCAGCTCACACATACACTCACATCAGCAGTTTCCTTCTTTGTATTTCATGATCATCTAAAGAATCAGTTATGCCCAGTTGAAGATTTAAAACCTAAAGCACAATCACATATCATACATAATGTCGGCTTTAAATTGAGCAACTACCTGATTCTCCACCAGCTAAGGGTGGGGGTGGTGGGGGAAAATCTTCTGCTGGTTCATCTATTAATGGAAGAGCTGGGCCATCTGTAGAGGGTTGAATGGAAATTTATTCACAAAAATGAATTAAATTTTTTAATATGAGAAGCTGAACAGATGGAAAAGTACATATACAATGTCATCATCAACAACATTTTGCATTTTAATCAAATCAATAAAATAGATTGCATGCTGCAGTGTCTGTACTGTAATCAGTCCGAGAAGAAGTCAAAATGTGACAGGAACATCAGAGACATAATCTGCTGCACCTTGTGTGCCACTTTTTTTGTTATTATCACAATTTGACATCATCTGTGATCTATTACTGAACAGACACACACAGCAACATGGCATCTATTTGTTAACCCTTTAATTCCCAGAAGTGATTAACATGTAACTTCTCCCCAGAATATCTATACATTATCCAGCAAAAAGGTAATGAGAATACCCAAACTTATAGGGTTGAAGTTGTCATCTTGATCTAACACCAAATTCTTGTAACCAATTTACAAGAAAATGTTCACCAGCTAGAGAGGAGAATTAACAATCAGATCCTGGGAGTTAAAGGGTTTAAAAAGTCAGTGGTACATCATTCAGAATGAAGCACTTCCCCTAAGATTGCCATGGCAGTGCTTTTAACCTACTTGTTCACTAATTCACATCTGTGTGGTACTTTTGTCAAGATTCACATTTTTCTTTGACTAAAAATTTTGCAAACTGGTTTCCTTTGTTTTAGATTACAAAAATCAATACAAAAACAGAGGAAAGAAGAAGTCAAACTGATTGCAGTTCTGAAGGAATTAAATCAGTAACAAAAAAACACATACACATTTGTGGGATGTCAATGTTGAAGAGAAGGTAGCCTTAAAAAGAACTGTCCTGGTTGAAGAAGATAACAAATTGGCTCCCTAAGCAGAAGATGTAATTTAATTCTGATGGTGACTTCTGCTCATGTTGCCGATACATTAACTTCAAACTAGAGTCTTACAGTTACCTTACCAAGACAGTCACACCATTAATCTGGGATTCACACCTTTACTATGAATCATCCAAGGTATACGTACCTGTTGAGTCACTCTCCAAATCCATAGGTATCTCAAAGTAATCATCATTTTCAAACAAAGCAGGATCACCTTCTTTTGAGGGTGAATCTCTGTCCCCTCCCATCTCAGTTCCAGCCAACTTTACACCAGAGCTTCTTCTCCTGCCTTTAACAGATTTGGTCAACTTCTTTTTGCTGCGCCCTTTGTTTCCCTGTTGATTCCTTTGGTCAGAAAACCTGTCAGTGTTCATCTTTTCCTGCCACTGCCGAAGTCTTTCCCGTCGCTCCTGTTTCTTGTTGATGTCCTCCCTGGAAGTAACATAAAAAAGAGATAGCTAGAATCTGTTTCAAAGTCATTGAATACACATTCTCCAAATCCCCATATAAACAGTTGAATCTGACTCATATGATACTTCTACCATTGAGAAATTTGAGGAGTCAATTTGTATCAACAAGCTCTCAAAATCAAACTTAAAATGCAAACCTAGATTGTTGTCAAGTTTTGTTTCATGAGGTTTGAAAAAACCTTTACATTATCATCACAGGTTTTGTACTTGAACTGCATGCACTAAGTAAAATAACCTCTGCATACTATGCAACAATTTTAGCCTAACTTCTGCAAAAAAAAAGCAAAACAAAAAACCAAGTCTTAAAAAAAAACACCACACCTGTTACACTCCACTGAAACAGAGCTTCCTGCGAGGGACATAAGTCTTGCCTCCAGTTCATTATGAGGGTCAACATGTGGGCCTTGATTAGAACCAGCAGCTCTAGGCTTTTGACTGTTTACATTATTTTGCACTGATCCTTGAAATACCTTTCTCTTTCTTTTCCTGCGATTTTTCCTTATCTTAGACATTGGTACACTCTCTCTAGTTCTTGACATAGTTTCCAGGTCATCGGCTCTACTATTATCCATTACAATTGAATCTTCCACCTTAACCTTCCTTTGTTCCAGATCTTTCTGGCTTAATTCTTTGATCGAAGGCACACTGGTGTAAAGAGGTTTTATTCTAAAAGGGAGAAATGGTTTTGGTTGTGCTGGTTCAGCAGTTGGTTCACTATCCAATATCTCACTGGCTCCCTCCATATCATCCATTTCATTACCACTTCCCATGTGTAGCAAATTCATATCAGCAGGTAAATACAAAGTATTCTGTCTCCTACTCTCAAAATTTTCATGGCCATTTTCATTTTCTATTGGCAAATCAGATTTTGTATCCTCCACAGGGATATCTATGAAAGTGTCATCAATGATATTGTCTTCACCCGCAGATGAGTTTTCCTGATTCTCGAGGGCAGCAAGCTGTTGTTGAATCAGGCGATGACGTTGTAGTAGAATCCTATAATCATCAAATTCCTCATCAAAAGGGGATGGCACTCTTCTAGGTTGTTCTTGATGGGCATCAGGAGCTGATGGACTCATCTCTCTCTGAAATGGTTGTGATTTCTCATCTAGCTCCATTAGAGGCAGTCTTTGTACATGTCTCTCTGAAGGTGACGGACGAGGCAGCCTTGGCCTATCAGTATCCAAATAAATTTGCCTCCTTTCCTCGAGTTGTGATCGTGGTCTGGTCTCAAGTGGAGTTATGATTCTTGCTCCTTCACTCTCTGTATATGAAGGTAATCTTTCATCAGGGTATGCAGGTCTTGCTCTCTCAATGGACAAGGGATAAGGTAAATTGGGTCTTTGAAGAAAAGCTATATAAGGTGGCGTTGTTAAGAAAAACCTAGATGTTGTTGAGAAAGACCCTGTTATATTGGAAACAAAAGAACAATCCTTTCAAAGGCTGAGGAACAGTACAACAGCAATAGCACACATACACAAGCACACATACACAATCACAGACAGGAACTAATGTAAATTACACAAGAAACATACACAACACTACACGTACACGTAAATCTCAAGTAAGCACATCTTGCATGTGTAGCAAATTAAAATGAATTTACAAGTGAAGTGGTTTCAAACTTGTTTGATTTATAGTTGTTCTACAATCTAGATGAATATATATTAGTGCAATCCCAGACAACAAATAACATCACTCAATCAAGCTGAAATTTGAATTAGAAAATATTTTTTTTTTCTGATAAAAATGATTAATTTGCCATATATACTGCACCTTAAGAACTAACTTCAAGAAGAGACAAGCCAACTGTTCCTTGTATTATTTTGAGCAAATGTTTACACAGTTTTTAAGAAATATTTATAAGATTATGGATCACCATCATCTGTTGTCTTTCAGTTTTCATAGTGCTAGTCTTTTCAGTTGTCGTATTTTCAGTTTAAGTCAAATTTATCCTATAATGTTTCAGTTTCCAAAAAGCAACTGACATCTCACTTTACTTTCCCCCAAGGCACAGATACTTGCAGGGCGTGAAATTAATTTTTTTCTGATAGCCTCTAGGCTCCTAAATTTTTTAAAGTGGTAGCCAATTCAAAAAAAGGAACAATTTGTCTTTTATTTTTCAAATATTGCTAAGTTATCATGTGCACTTTATGGTAGGCCAATTTAGAAATAAGGAAAGTTTTGCCAATCCACTATATACATTACAGTTTAGGGAGAGCAACATAATCTGTCTTTATAAAATAAGTTGATTATGTAAGTTTACTGCTGTAAAGAATTTCTTTAGCTGTTGTTTTGAGTGTAAGCCATTCATTTTTCTCACTGATGAAGGGCTAATACCCAAAATGTCGCCTTTAGAAACTCTTAATTGTGGTCAATTACATTATCAACTCAGTTGATAAAACCAAATTATTATTTTTTTCATTTTCCTCCACTGGTGCAGCATCGCAATGTCTTTAAAAAGATACCCCCTTCATTCATTTTTCATTTAATGAGAAGTCAAGCATTTGTGGTAACACTTAGTAAGGACACCTGATTGCATTCGCCAAGGGGTCTACCAGTCTCCATATCTGTTGAAAAAAATTTGTGAAAGCAAAAGCTTCCTATTGATGATTGATACAACTGATAACTAATCAGAAAGTAATCAATGGATTGGCACAATTTCTGATAATGATAGTGATCAGTATTTATCAAGTATCAAAAATATTAAACGTTTTCTGGTTTGTATTTGTGTAATATTTGTTCTGTTTTGTTTTGTTTTGTTTTGTTCAAGGACTCCAACACTCTCTATTCACAGTTTCAATTCCTTTTTGTAATCGATCTCCACCAAAAACAGCAATCTCACGAGCAAGGAACCCAGCATCCCAAAATCACATAATGAGAAACTGACCTAATTGATTAATACGTCATTGCACAGTCAGGTGATGTATCTTTAAATCGTTAATAAATTCGAGTACCCACCCTTTACGACAAAAAGAAACAAACACACTCACACACATAAAGAAAAAATTAAATGATTATAAGGATACGTCTGCGCATATTTCCTCTTCTCGTGGGATAAGTCTTTTCTCGTCCATTTCCGCGAAATACTTTCCCTCTTCCCCGGCCTCTTTGTCGAGAAAATCTTCCGCGAAAAGAACCGAAAGATCCACCTCGCGTTTCCCACCGATCAGGTGGAGGATTAAATTGTTGAAATCCAAAATCACGAATCTTCGTTTCAAATGGGTTATCGCTCGAGTACTGCTCGCGTGTCGAGTACTGATCATGACGATGTGTTAGGAGATACAAATCGTTGTTATTTGATTCCCTTGCCGAAGGTACATCTTCGTCTATTTCACCATCTTCGAGATCGTTTATTTCCCCGTCCTCCAGTTCTAATTCTCTATCCTCTGATGCCATAATTTTGTAAAAGAACTACAATCACAGTTATTTTTGTTCTCAACTTTGACCATGCATGAATTCCTTCACCGCCATTTTGCACACCCCGCAACTTAATCCCAGAACCCCCCGCAAACCAAGTTTGGTTCCAGTCTCCTACATTGTTTAGTAAGAGAAAAACCTCTTCATACTTTTAATGAAATTGTAAACAGTGGCGAACCTGCCTAGCTAATTAGAAGTAAATTCTCTAACTCTCGTTGTTTGTTTGGTTGATTCTTCTTTAATCTCTTTTCTTCTCAAGTTGTTACAACGGGAACTAACTCCTATCCGATGAGAAAAGCGAGGGTCACCGTTTATAAGGTGACACTACAGATGACATTACTAAGCTGTCAATCATCTTGTATCGTCATCGTTCGATCTCAGCCAGCGAATCACGTTAGATTGCGTATTAGTAACTCGGATAGGTGATGACAAAGACGGGCATTTTATTCGCCATAAGCCTTGCGTCAGGAAACAGTTTCACCATGAATTTTCCTTTTTCGAACTGAAAAGAACCAAGAAAAAGGGACACCGCAGTTAACAATTATGGTGGCATTTGAACAGCTTAGGATCACAGTGGAGGGCTCTTGTATGTACTTTAAGTCCTTCAGCGCACCAAAGATGATATCCAGGCCAAAGGACAATCTTTTTGCAGACGTTTCAACAACTTGACTTTTCCTTTTGACCCTCTTGGATAAATTGCTCAGAAAACAAAAACAAAAACAAATCTGAGTTACCGGCATTGTTTGTATCGATCTTTTCCGTTTATAAGGTTAATAAAGCTATAATGAAGCTCGTCCAGGTGCTAGTTTTGTGCTATTTCTCATCAACGAGTTTAAATTTAATACGCAGTCAAGACTGAATAGAATTCCTCTTTGGGTTATTGGATCCACTAAGGGAACTACATTCCATCCAGCTGAGAACGTGCCCAGACATCTGAGGCGTTTGCACTCTGACCGGATCGAATTTTCCATGTTAAGTTCTCTGGGCTGAAGACCAATTTTAAAATAGTCCAAAGCTAATTAGTTGAAATAATCTCGTATTTTGTCAACAAGCTTAATTTCTCACAGCCTGTTCTCCGGTGGGGTCGGAAGTTATTTATCCGTTTACTCGTGTTCCTCTTATTGATCGTGTGTCCACGCCCGATTGAGTGCAATCAGTTTGAGAATATCCGACATCTACATAAAGAATTCCTCTTTTATTTACCGTCTGGCCTCATTTTAGTGTTTTAAATCAAATTTGTTAACTTTAAACGTCAGGTCTATATCATTTTCTATGAAGTACTCAGTTCAAGCGAAGCAAGAATGGCGTTCGGTTTTCTCAGAGTGGACTGAAAGCCTCTTTTGTCTTGTGGGAAAATACTTTGAAAAAGGGAGGATAGTGTATCATGACGACTTTCCCAAAGACCTCCCCCACCTTTCGAGAAGTGCCGGTGTCAGATGGAAAGAGCATAAGGATACGATACAATGCCAAATACCAGTAAGTGTTTCCTTTTCAAAACAAACCATGGCGATGGACGCCTGTTATGTTCAAAACTTTCGTGCCGAAACGACAATTTACGTCAAAGAATGTCTGTCGAGTTTTACATATCGGGAAATTCTTGCTTCTAAACAAAATTCTCCACATGATTTTCATAAAGTTACAAGTCAGTGCTTTCCGTAAATTAGAAAGCTGAGAAACCCGAAATGAAGTTTGACGTTAACTGGATAACTATTGGCTTGAGAGCACAGTCTGTTTTCTCGAAATAACCGTGATTCACATCAGATCAGTTCGAATGAAAAGGAATTTTAGAGAATCATACTCTTTTGATGAAGCTTTCTACACCACTGAAAAGGCTACAAACTTCTCGATTTACTTATTACCTATGTCAATGATATATAGAAACGCTCCATATGAATTTTTTGTTGCAAGGGTTAAGGATTCTCTGCAAATCTCTGTATGATGATACGTACGCGATCAATTTGCCATTCCTTAGTTTGGCCATGTTACTCGCAGAGTTTACATTAACATTTATTATATTATTTGTTTACCACTTTTTAACACATAACAACACAATTTTTTATTTAACTTGGTATATACTATACTCGAACAGCTGATATCGAAACCGCGAACTCACGCTCTCCCGAGTGGTGAGCATTTTCTTATATCATGTTGTTGTTATGTTAGTCTTGTTTATCAGGCGAACCGCACGACTAAGGCGGAAACATCATGAAATTTACATTGGAAATAACACTTAAACAGTCATAAATTGATATTCTTGAGGGTAAACTGAATGGGCGAAGCTCAAAGTTCATTCTAGACCACTTCGATAGTACTTAAACACTCATAAACATCTCTTTACTGACCAGCATTAAATAAAGATTCGGCCCACGCAAAATTAGAACCAAATAGTCAGTCAGTATTAAAGACAGTTCTACAATCTGATCGTGTCACTCCTTTATTAATTTAAAAAATGTGAGAGAACGCACATCCTTCAACAAAATTACCTTTGTATGTTGCCCTTGAGTGAGATTTATACATTATGTGCAGGAGCTTACTCACAATCAATAGAAGAATCTTATGAAATTAAACTTTGAATTTTAAGGTTTGTCATTCGCAACACAAATCTCATTGATCACCATCTTTCCGCTTTAGCTCCCTATAATTTTCTCATGAAAACTTTGTTTATTTTTGTCTACTCCAGTAAACTATTATTTGGAGCTTTCCTTTCTCATTTTTAACCAGATAACATTGATGTTCCGAAGTTATCAACGACCACAAAAAGAATCAGCTACAAATCAAACATAGCTTTAGGACCTGAACACGCAAATGTGATTTTTAAGATTCCTTGTGTGTGCCGCTGGCACCCATAGGAAGAAGAAAATTATTGTCGGATATTCAAATTTAAGCAAGAGTTCGATCTTTCGGATGACGAATGATGTTCAGGTTTTTCAAGAAATAATAAATGGAACTGTTGTCTTCGAGTTTCTGCAATGTCTCTTACTGAGTCATTGCCACAGAAATCTTTCGACAGTGTCATGGATATAAACAAGATAAAGAGAAGGGAATGTGCCTTTAACTTTCTCTTTCTGTTCCTTGATTAAATAATTAGCTTTCATGGCGGCGGCAAAACATTTTTGACCGCAGAAGTAATGCATTTTATTTACGGCAGATTCTATTTAGTCGCCAACCTACTACTGCGCCGCCCAGGGTATTCGAAGATGGACGAGTTGCAGGTTCATAAGTGTTCTTATTTTCCATGAATAACGCTTGATTGATAGTTAAGGAACTCTAATGACCAAAATTAGATTTCCTGTCTATACTTTTAAAAGACCCAAAAATATCTCCAGTACATGCTCTACAGATGTGGGGTAGAGCATTCTGGAAATTGTGACATACCTTCATTAAGCGATCGATTTTTATCTCAGTAAACCCTATTCGGGTGCGGTTAAAATTTTCTGAAATTTGAAAATAACATTTTGTTACATATCTTCTCACTTATGAAAGCAAAATTAAAGATAATTGAAACGAGGGATTTAATTTGACTTTCAAAATAAATAAGCTTCATCTCGGTGCGTGCTTTGCCAAAAAGTATTCTTGAATTTTTTTCAATTTGATCCGATTCAGTTTGCTTCCCTACCTCGTTCCGGCCTTTGGATTTCATCGAGTCCATTTGTGTGCCTCTCTGTCTTATCAAATCAATATTCCGTGGTTTCCCTCACAACTAGTCTAAATCGATCGATTAATTTAAATTGGATATCAACCTCTTCGAAAGAAACCCAACGGTGGTGCAAATTGGTATCTTAAAACATGAAAACAAACTTCTTGAACCCTTGGCTTGCCTTCAGGAGACTGAAGAGGTTTATTCTTTTTTCTCCCCTGTTTGTACTTGTTCTTCCGCCCATTCCGGACTTGGTCAAAAATGAAGCAGACATTTAAGTTAGATAGAATGCGAAGAACTCTTGTCTGACCCCCGGCTTAGAAAGCCGTGCCCAAAATATGGCTTGTAAAATGTTTAACTGCTTCTCACAATCAATGCATTGTTGACCAATGCTCAATCAGTTAATGCCTCCGTTTCATGACCACATAGGCCACTTTGAAGGTCGCATCAGCTCATTACTTAACCACACAAAATTTTCGTAAGAAAAAATAACAACTTTATTAACATCAAATTGCGAGTTAATTGGCTTTCAATAAGTAACATGTGTTAGCTGTGCAGTTTCACTGAGGTAATTACGTTCTTGTCACAACGACTCGTCGGTGGAGCAGTTACCTTCGGACTACTTTGTATTGCATTTCAGTTCTAACAAAACCTTCTTGAGATGAGAGGTTTGGGACCCGATGTATCATTCCAGAAGCTCCAGCCTAGTGCACAACAGCACGCCAAAGTGGGTCCGCTGGAATAAATCAGTGCTTTTGATAATTTGATTTACTAATTTTAATTGCGGATAACTGAGTGTTACAGATCGTGAGAAGAATTAAGATTGAAACAATGTTGGGTTCATTCCTAATCTCATTGGATTAGTACAAATCGGTTTTACATCAAAATCAGGATAGGTATGTGTTTTGCAGTGTTGTGGTGCAGAGCACGCCTCCCCTAATCTACGGTTAATCCAACAAGCTACTTACTGAGATTAATGTTGTAGCCCATAAAGATCGTACGTCACTGACAAACAAACTCAACAGAAAACATTTCCAGAACAGAAAACTTTTCTTTGTAAATGTTCCTTATAAACAAAGGCTTGGTTGTTGAGGCTAAACATTACCACAGACCTGGCTGCGTCACCTGAATCTGGTGTGAACAAACGCTTATTCGACATAAATATAAATCGCATTGTTATACGGGTAAAGAGTACATTTTTCGCGCGTCAGTTGAACTAGCAAAGTTTTCCGTGATAGCATTTATGCTTTCAAGAGCCTGTCGTTGTTCATCACAAATAAGACGGAAATTTCTTGCCGCAGTTGATAACCGCCTCTACGTTTCCCCTCTGTTGATCCCTCTTCACTTTATCACGGAATTGAGGCGGATCGGACACGACAAGGAACGGCGCAGCAGGACAAAAGAGTACTTCTGATCTATGAAGAAGGCAAATATTGTTAGGTCAAGTGATTTAACAGCCTCACATCATGAGGATGAGTCCGTGGGGTCGCTATAGCTAGCTATGAATTGCTGCGCAATTTCCAGTTTCCCAAACGAGAAAACTATAAACACGTCTAGGATCCAATACTGTTTCACACACACAATGTAAAGGTACACACACTCATATGATACATTCTTTGCCACATAATATCGCTGAGAAATGAGTGAGACTTTATCTGATCAGTAATTCAAAGGCTCTAAAAACGTTACTTCAATTGTTGAACGAGCCATTTTCACGTCCGGGCCCGATAACTTATTATTTTTTCCTCCAGAGTATTGAGGAAAAATAGTAGACGCCTTTACAGGCTGATTATCATTCCTCTGGAGAATGGGAAATTTCCTAAGCTATACAAATACGTTATATCTTCTAAGTGCATTCATCGAGCTTATCGCACGAATTTTCAGTGAAATAAATGCTAACATAAGCCCATATGCTAATGATTTTAAAAGCCGATCAGTTTGAGTCATTTAGCTATGAAAATCTTTAAATGCATGGTGAAATTACGGGTTAGGCAACTATTCCATGCAGTCAATATCCTCTAAAGGAATTTTAGGAACTCTAACCTTCCAACTCATTTTGCGTCAGATTAAAAAAAAAAAACCGCCCACTTTCACCTTTACTCTTGCATTAAACAAACGTACTCGTAACGATGGAATCTAAGTTTTTTTGCGGTTGAAAATGTTTCCCGATTTTAGACGCTTTTCACGCCAGCAAAACCTTTTCTCTTACCACTTACTATAAAATCAGTTAAGTCATTTCCTGTGCTAATTAGCGCAACGTTTAATTAGGCCGAGACGAAAATGGCCCCCCAGAGGATAACTTATACCCCGTCCTATTTCCGGATTTGTGGTAACTTTGTACTGACCAGCGATCGCCAATTACACCCGATTGTGTTTTCTTAACCAGGGCATCGGTCGCAATAATCTGCCACATAAGAAGGAAATAAAATTTAAAATATGCCTCTGTGTTGTTGTTGAACATGACTGAAGTTTGTTGTACACTTTTCGAATGAGTACCTTCATCCGTGGTTTTGTACGCGACTTGTTAATTAAATAGGGTATTAGTCCTTCGAGACCACTCTATGTATTCATGCTAGCGATCAGTGCGACTGAACTTGGAACAGTAATGGAAAATAAGGCTTAATGTGCACAGATTTAGCCCGATTTAAAACAATGAGGTTAAAAAAAGATTTTTGAGCACTTGATGTGACGTTACACCAGACTTGCAGACAAACCACACTTTAAAACGCAATTTGATCACAAACCGCAAGACAAAATTTTACTTCCCAGACGGTTCTCCGAGATGCTTCATTCTTCCGTATACATAAAATATGTTTTGATTTGCAAGAAATTCTCTGAACACAATTTTTTTTATCAAGGAATGTTCTGAGCAGCACTTCACACCACATAAATTGTCAGTCAAACGACTGTTTGGTAGCGTATGTCTTCCGATTAGCTGTAGTTATTACACCATCTTTCATCAGATCTTTAGCGAGGGTTTAAAAGCTTGGTTATCTATCGAAAAATGGGTTTATCTTGCCGTAACTGATAAAGCGTAAATATTCGCTTTTCTTGCCTTTCCACTGCGCTTAGGCGAGATCATATTTATAAAGAATTCTTGGCTGGGATTGCTAGAATACCATCGCCTTTACCACCCGACTCGAAAAAAATTTACAGATACAAAAATTCGAGCTATTTTTAATCTCGCTATTTTTTTTTATCATGGGCATAGATACGCTAAGATATACGTGCGTGTACTGCATATTCTACTGCTAGTAAAAATATTTACGCAGAGCAACTGTTAGTGCTCGAAATTTACAAAAGAGTAACTCCCTACTGTTAATCAGAAGAGCGTAACTTCACTTCCGGTGAGGTGTTTCATGTGTTGAAATTACATTAGGAGCCTTTTGGTAATTTATGGCTTGGTGATTTTATTCTTTTTCAAGTTCGCCGGTCTTTCAATACTGGCTCGCAAATTGACGCCGCGCTTAGTAAAATGGAATGCTGAAGCCAAAGTGTGTATTGGGTATAAATAGCGTCTTCCGGTATGTACGTACCCAAGCAATTACTCAAATTTCCGTCAATGCCTTATAAAAACAGTTACGCTTGGTCAATAAGAAGGTCATATCTGTATGCAGATAACTTAAGGGCAACACTAAACCTCGCAACGGCTCAAGTACAGTGTAAATCATCAACAGCATCGAACAGTTCAAAGTCAATATCACTGTATCACTTCCCCTGGGACTTGCTAGTCTTCTGCAGCGATGAGACTGTGCGCGATTGTTGTTCTGTGCATTGAAATCTTCGCGGGTCTTCGCGTCGCAGGGAATAGATGTAACGATGGAAAGTGTCCTTCAGTTTCGCAAAACGGTTCTGGTAAGTTGTGTGGCATTTTTTTATTCTCTGGTTGTTATCATCCAACTGCATTACGAATCGGAACAATTCACTGATGATTTCGCGTAACTAGAAATCGGATTTTGAGCTGCGCGCACTTACTCTCAACCCGATGTTACAAGAAATTATTCGCCAATTTTCACCGAGTAAATCACTCACAAGTAATCATTTCACTCAGTCCTTGTTGCTTTAGAGAGCCTATTTAGAGTGCCCAAAGACTGCAGTGCATCCGAAGTCACACAAGATAAATATAATTTGAATACTGACCTTCACCGGACTGTTTGGGATCACCATTCTTCACAGTCCTCTTAAGCTGAATTTTAAAACACCAAAGAAACAGCGGACAATAAATTTTCTAAATATCACTATCTAGCCATAGTAAAAACGTTTTTTTTAGAAATATGAATGATGTGCGGAAGCTGTGCCTGTAAATTGGTTTCTGTATGGCTTTTGGAGGCGCAAAACAGTTATAAAATGGCTCATGTCATATATTCATCCCCACGGCTTCCTTGATAAGAAGGTCATTTTAAAACAGAATATCATGAATGTCAGTGAAATTTATTTAACCCAGCCCTGGAAGAAGAGCCTAAGATAAAAATTGATTTCACGGGAAATTTCGAAGTGAGTGGAAAAAAAACCATACACCATGCTGTTATCTGTCATCGGCTGTTGTTTTTACTGTGATATATTAAGCTCCATCGATGGTTCTTCCTTCTATAAGCAAGCGTGTGGTTGAAAGTGGTTAGCCGTGATGAGCTTTAAATGATCGCTCGTTTGCAAAGTCTTTGTAAAGTGCTTTAAAGAAATCTTTTCTCTATCTCGTGTGAAAGGAGCGTGCCCTCTGCAAATCGTGCAATAGCGAAACTCGCTACCGTTGCAATGCGCGCATTTTTAACTCAGCGTAGACACCATATCCTCGCCCATCAATCAGTACATCTTCTTCAGCCAGGCAATTTTTAGGACAGATCACACAAAGAAAACTCACATCACTTTAACTTTGCTTTAGGTAGATCAAAGCAATAACATTGCGCTTAACATGCACTCGCGTATATTTTTCAATTTGCTAAAACACACTCTGAGATGCATCTATGACAGTTTTACCATACCCATATGGTTTCGGTGGGGTAATTCGCCCTCAGGCAAATTTCGGCACGAAACAATCAAAGTGATTTTTTTACAACGCGACCGAGAAGATGTTCGCGTGCAGAGTTGCCCACAATTTTTTTTTATAACCTAGATGCTGTGACCTTGCAAAAGCGAAACTATTTTGAACCCAACCTCGTGTATTGCGCTTATTTCGGGGTTTCACAGCTATTAAAGTTTACAAAAGAACAAGAGCGTAGTATTTTTACAAGGGGTTGCTAATTTTCTGAAAAATATATATCTTTTGAATTGATTTTTAAGTCCCAACATTTAACACTTGAATACCACCCCGATTATCCCAGATTAGAAGACGTATAGTTTACGAGGCATGCAACAAAGTGACTGCTTCCGTCCTTCGATGCCTGGAACCTAGCCCGTCACTGGACATAAATTTTAGCCAGACATTAAGAAAGCAGAATAATCGCGTTCTGAAGAGGTATTCCGTCACGTCATGAGAAAAAAGGCTAACGTCAACAGGCGCACGTGTGCCCACATTTCACCTCCACAGCTAAGCATGAAAACGGAATACGATACAAGTCGGCATTTTAGCATCGGCGGGCAAGCTTTGAAACGGTATAAAATTTCTTCGTCCAATTTTCCGACTTGCGGATCTCTTTGACTATCGGATACACCTACCGCAGCCAGAATCGCCTGACAATTTTGGAACAGCACACTAACTTTTTATCTCTTGTTGCAAGCGTAGTTGTGCATCTAAAAGAAGTGTAAAATGGAAGATTACTTTCTAGGCGCGGTGCGGCAAAAACTCTGCATGGTTGCATAGTGTCTGGAAGTTGTTCTTGTTTTGCTTCAGAAAAAGCTTTGTTTGTTTCTTTTGCGGGGGTCTTTTGTACCAGCTGTAGTTTTATCAATTGTTTGGTCTTTGTCTTGCGCAAGAACTTCAGTGCCAATGGGTTTTCTAGGTCATCTTTTAGAAGAAACATAAACAGATTAACACATTTTTCGGTCACACTTGGATTGGCAGCGTCATAAAAACATGAATTAATTTTGCATCGAAAATAAGATTGTCAACAATTGCTTTAACGTAATCAGCTGGAAACAGGGTGCATAAGGTTTTGTTTTCCACACTTTAGGAAATCGTCACACGGACAGTATTTCCGTGTTATTACAATTTGCGTTCTTGATAGGGCGTCTCTGGTTTAGAGGTACAATAATTGTAACGATTCCCGTGTCAAGCTGCACGTTACTGTAGTTTGTATGATAATCACTACTCAATTTTCCTTTTACATACGCATATCATTTACAGAAAAAAAAAAAAAAAAACAAGTTTCCTTCAGGTAATCGTGTCAACCTGCACGGAACTTTATGTTCATGAGGAATCAACCAACATGAGCAATATGGACAAAAGTCTAAAAAAAAAAAAAAAAAAAAAAACCACTTATTTCCATTTACCAACGCATCTTGTTTACAAAAAGCAGTTTCACAGGGAAAGAGGATAAATTCACATTCCTAAGATTCTTAAGTTGCCACTATCACTTTTGCACAAGAAAAGGCTTGGGGTTGAATTATAGGAATAAGTTCCTCGTTTTATTTCGGTTGTCATTTTCAAGAAACTTTATTTGTTACTGTCATTATCAATGCGTGGCTTCGCGTGCCAGAATTACACAGACCAGCAAATAAATGTTGTAAACTACGTTCATTGCCAATATCTCAAGATGATTAAAAACACTTCATAATTATTTTGAATTCGGCTTGTTTGCGGAAACTAATTTTTTTTACTTCGCGTGTGTTCTTAAGACTATTCACTGTGGGAGTACCTCATTGACGCGATTGTCGAACTTGGGTCATTTAAAACCTAAAGATGTTAACTTGCCCCTTTTCTTTTCATAGCGAGGCGGGCTATTTTGGCTCGTTTTAGTTTAAATATATTGACAATTTTAACCTTGACTTTATAAGGGCATTATTCATATCCCAGAGTAGTTGCCCTTAAGAGAGGGGCTTTTAAATGACTTCGGTATTGATCGACTAAGCAATCGCGATGAAGAATTTACGACATATTTGTGGTCACCGATTAAATGTTCGAACAAATTGTAAACTATTTTAAATGACTGCGGTGGATTAAAACCTCCAAACCTAAAGGATTAGCCGTTCAAAAACATCAATAACTAACTTCGATCAAAGATATCTCTCCTTCTCGTAATGGTTGTTTTGGAGAAAGAGACGCAGAAATTTTATGCAGTAGACTTCGAGACTGAAAATATGACTAAGTTATGGGCTTGTTTAGGAGTCTTACGCACTGAATCGTTGGACAGAAAATGTGGCCGAAAAATGTCCCTTCAATGTTAAGATACAGAAAAAAAAAAAAGATAACTAATTTTGGACTGCACTCGTTCAAAATGCACTCTGGCATGACATATTTTAAGAATTGTTACCCTGTGTACGCACTTGAAACCAGGAATAATTCATGACCTTCTATATTCTATTGTTAATCGCGTTAGGTCAAAAGACCAACCCCGGTGAGATATTGCTGAGCTCACAGAACAATTCTTCTCGCATGTCTTTGACATTGGAAGCAATATCTGCGCAAATGACGAAGCATGATCTTGAACAACTAAGACGTAAGGGTTAATTAAGAGTTTCAGGATCTCATCAGCATTTTGATGATCGTCATCTGATAAGGCATAGAAACCCCACGAATAATATCGAGATAGAGTAATTTTATCGCCCTGTCTATATCGACATGTTCTTGATGCACACGGGTAAACATATAGTATTTTATAGTACAGAGGGCACAATAAAGTCCAAACACTCCACATTGTCAAGTCAAGCATATTTATTATTCCTAGATACTTTAGATTTCATCTGAAGACCATCTATGGCTGCTTGCGTCTAGAACCCAAGGTAGTCTGTTGCGTTCATGTGCAGCTCTTGTTTACTCCATCAACTAAATCATACCATTATCTCTCTTTCAATATTTCTCCAGTACTTAAGTGGTAATGTCGCAACATATTGAGACATTTTTCAGTGGCATCGAGTACGGGCTTTCAAAGATATGGGGTATCAAACCTACAGACTGCCAGTTTTCTAGTAGATAGAGTGCTTTTCGATTGATGGTCGTGAAACCAACACTAAAACCAAAAACAAAATAATCACAACGGCCTATCCGAAGAAAGGCAAATACTTTTAATAGCTATTAGAACTCAATGTAAAACCGACCAAAATGCCCAAAGCGCGGGAAAACGCGAGCGACCAAGTCATAATTGGTTTTGGTTTCTGATTGGTCGAGAGGGTGGTACCTGTTTTCTTCACCAATTGAAAGACGAAATAAAGCAATTATTTACGATACTCGATCAAAAATGCTCTAAACATCAAAAGGGTTTGGATAAGCCAAAAAGGAACCAAAATGGCGAAGACTTGTATGGATTGCAAATGACAAACTTGAAAAATATAATCCAAATTTTTGAAGGTACTCAAATCGTAGCCAATGTTTTTATTATTTTTCACAGTGTAGAATGCAAAAAAGCTGTACCTTCTTCGATTTGCCTATAGCTTTGATTTGTTGCGACTATCTTAGGAGTACGGGCTAATCGATGATGTACAACACACTAGTCAAACGTCTGCGCATGTGCGAAAGTTATAATAAGTAAGGCAATTAGAATCAAGTTGTCTCACACGAGTTACAAACAACCATACAAGCTAGTAAGTCAAGGTGTTTAAACAGTGTATAACGTTTTACACATTTCTGTAAACGGTTTGATTTTCTTTCGCTTATTTTGCGAGACAGCGATTGTTTCTTATGTTTCCGCGAAAAAAAATTCGACAGAAGACATAAGAAACAATCACTGTCGAATTTTTTTTCGCGGGAAATTGGCCAGAACTGATCCTCTTGCTCATGCACGAAGTTTGAGCACCAAGATGTGCAGCCGTAGTAAGATGTGAGTCACGGAGTTTAGGCCACCAAATATGATTCTGAACCCATTTATGTGCCTTGAATCTTGTGACAGTCTCTCAAACCGAAATCTTCAACTTCATTAATAGGATGTGTAAATCCTTTTTACGAATTTAGGGGCTCTCTTACAACAGATAAAGTAATCTCCCAAAATAAACAATTTTATTTTGTATTTTCGAATCTTTTTTATGTCCTTCATGGCTCGAACTCAGACAGTGGTTGCCTGAAAGACTTGAACCTTTTTTCCAGCTCCAAACATTTATCACCCTCTAAAAATGAACCCTCTTAACCGCTGCCCATTTCCAACGTGTGGCTTCGTAGTTCGGTTAGTGGTAAACTGGTGAAGCCCAACTAGTATCCAGAGGCCTGGGTTCGAATCTAGTCAAAGCTTCAAATCTTTTTTTTGGTCTTCTTTATTGCAATTTTAAATTACAGCTCACCTGCGAGAATCGTTGCTTTACTCGATTCTTTATCCGCAGGTCAAACGAAATTTATTTCATTAAAAATTATGACATTCTGTTCACAGAGAAAGACGGAAAGGAAAGCGATGACAGATTTACCTGCTGTGCCTGTGGAGGAGCAACCTACGACATCACATTTACTGGTAATGGAAAAAAATTAAGAGGATCAATGTCAGTATCTGAGCACCTGTGCACCCACCCTTCCCCTAACCCAGCATAAACCGTACGTTGTTATCAGTTGACTATTGTTGGGTTAGGGGAGGGGCAGGTGCGCAGTTGCAAAGATACCGACATTGACAATGTTTCTCTAAGGTTGCTCGCGAAGAATCTTTGGTTTGTTCCTACAGGATGCGGCTCTATCCTTTTCTGTTTTTAATGGCTCGCGTTGTGCCCATCATTTAGAATATTTCTGTTGCGGCTTCATATTTCCAAGGTCCTCTAAAGGGCTTTTCAGAATAGATATATTTTTAGTTGAGATTTGAGAGAAAAACAGGATCACTTCGATTGTTGTGGTTTCGCTCCACTGCTCTCTCTGATTGGTCTTAGAAAAATTCACGTGGCCCTTGCAGCCAATTGAGGTGCAAAACAAACAAACTAGAAAAAATCAATCGTTTGCTTAGTATTCACTTCGAGTTCCAACTGGTTCCTTGTACTGTTTTCCTCTGTCCCTTTTGGTCTTTGTGACTACTCTGGTCTTGGTTGAACGCTTCAAGCCACCGATTCGAGGCGACACGTGAGAGTTGTATGAAGGACCGTGCGAGTGTCCCTCGTAAAACTCGCGCATATTTTCAACAGAGCGTCTGCTATGCATTTGCTCTTTCCTCAGTAAATAACGAAGATCTCTGATCATATCTCATTTGCCTTCAGTTGTGACTCTTCCTGTTTAATTTCCCCATCTGAAAAGACACGAAAAGAGTGATTATGTCTGAAGGAATCCACCGACCTATGAACACACATCATCGTTAGTTACAGAGTTTTTTTACAGGACAATCGCGTCAATCTTACTTTCACGCTTACTGTATTTTGATCTGTTTCCTTCTTGGTTTTCAGTCTTTATAGTACTATCTATAACAGTGGATAGCATTGAAGGAGCACTCTGATTGGCTACTCAAACCCCAAATATCCTTTGCTATTCACCTCTTGGTGAACTGTTTTCCTCAGTGTCGAATGTTAACGGTGGATATTTAACAAGCTGCCAATGAGGCATGGCTCGTAGAGTTATTCTGTCATGATCTCAAACGGTTTTTAAACGCACTGGCGAAGATGTGTTCACATCGAAATACATTTTGTAGAGTAAAATCACCGGGATCGTGTTGCTCTTTCGGCTATTTGATGGAGATATGACAAGCATATATAATTAATGCTTATTTGTTAAGTTTGTTTAGTTCAGTCCTAGATATGAGGGTCTCAATGGGGTGGTGGCTTTTACGGCTAACAGTTAACACCTTTCCATTATTCCCACCAAACAAGTTTTTTACGGTTAACTTTTTTTACAATTAACGGTTAAAATTTGTCAATTTTTACGCCTAACGGCCAAATTTTTTGGCCGTTTTACGGCTCTCGGTTAACCCCATTGAGAACCTCATGTACAGACTGGGTTGTATAAAGAAAAAGATGTCCAATGCCTTACAGATGATTTCCCTCTAAGGTAAATGGACAGAATCTACATATCCCCGGCATTTTCCCGGGCGAATGGCACGCTGGTCACCTTTAATTGGTTCCTCGCACAGTAAGGATTATATTGTATGGCAATTCGGAGGAATGGCCTCCCCTGGGGTCACAAAGGTCAGCGAGTGGGGAGCCGTCGAGATGCTGGAGAAGGAGATGAAAAATCAAGGAGAGAAGGTGCTCAGGTTAGCCTTAAAAGATGAAGTTTGCACAAAATGTTACCGTAGAACGGTAAATATTTTGCTTTCTGTACTTTATTTCCTCTCGCCTTCAGTTTTAACTGTTAGAAGTAGCCAATATCACAGAATCATTTTCCTTGAGCCAATAAAGAACCGAGATTGCTTTAGACACTGTGTTAACGCTTCTGGAAGCCAGCTTCAAGTCCTCTTCTCAGAAGTTCTGTCTTCTTTTTCTTGTGCATGCACATCCCAAGCCATTGGGATCATTCGAGGCCTATTCTCCTGTAACTTTTTCAAAATGTTGTGAAAGATTTCCTTTTTCTTCTCAACAATTTCTTTTTCCCTTCGCTTTCTTTTTACCTTTCATTTGATTGTGGTGCACAAGTTTCTCTCTTATTATCGTCGTCTTTCTAATACCAAAGCGAAAATAAATGGTTTTTGTTCTAAACTGCTGGAATGCATGGCACTCGCATCATACTTCTAAACGAATTTTCACGTTTTTGTTCGCCTGTATCTTGAGTGACAAGCCGTGAACGTCTAGTGGTTAGAAAACTCCGTTGTGGCCTTAGTAACCCTGGTTCGAATCCTGGTCTCCGCAATTTTTTTGCTAACGAAATTTTTCCAATAAATTCAGCTTCCTCCTTTTAAATGAACTTGAACTTTTGAGAAATTAAATCACAGGGAGGAAAAGCGAGGAAAAGCGAGGAAAAGGAATCTTGTGAAAAATTCTGAAAGCCTTTCGTGCAACTTGCCTGTCTGAACACATATCATTTTTGTTTGAATCTTCAGCATAATCAAGACGCACACGTTATATAGAAGTGCCGGCAAGGTTTCCACCACATTTAAAGCGGACAGCAAACGTAACCTTGTCTCAGCCTTGGCCAAGATCTTCCCAAGCCCTGATTGGAATGTTGGCGTTGACCGGATAAACCTGTGTGACGGGAATTGTACGTGGAAAAAAGCTGTTATCAGGAAACTTTATCCATGGGATGCTGGTTAGTTAGAAAAAAATTCAAAGATTTCCAAAAAAATTAAAAAGTCTCCGCTAATTTGTTATGCTCATAGTGTCGATTCAGAAATTTGCCTAAGATACAGACAGACTCGCGTATGAGAAGAACATTTGTCAGTTGTTTGTAGGATTATCACTCAGATCTGTACAGTTATCATTATGCATACGTATAGGGCGAAAAAATCTCGTTCAACATTGTGTAAACGACAATGGACGCACGAAGCAAGTGCCTCGAGGCATGGGTTGAAATAGTAGCCTTCATAATGATATCAATCATGATAGTTAATAATAATAATAATAATAATAATAATGATAATGATAACAATAATAACAACAATAATATTTTGTTGACTTGCATTGCACAAATACTTATGAAACATTTTAAAAAGTTTTATTGTCTAGAGAAAGCACTATTGTTTTTTCACAGACGAGCGAAGGGGAGCGCGAGCTGAGTATTGGGGGCCAGACAAGCGCGAGAAGGGAAGGTTGTTCGCCCCTACTCTTGGCTCGTGTTTTTGCCTCCGCTCGCCTGAAAACAGCAAAAAGACAAAGGAGGACCATTTACAACTGACTTTGAAGCCCCGTCTGTGCATAATGATGTAGACTACATAGATTACAAACGTACATTGAGGCTCTTTTCATTGGCTTTCTTGTTGGCCCGAAAATGCCTTTAAGTGACGCGAGGAAAGGCCAGCGAACTCTGGGTATATGGGTATATTGCATTTCTAGTGTTCTGATTGGTTCACTCAACTCCGGTTATAAGATTATATATTCTGAGTCACCTTGTATGGAAAAGCATTGCACCAACTGTAATGGAGCTGAAAAAAAATGCGATTATTCAAATCATCAGGATTTAATGAAATTTAATAAAACAATCATTCCATTTGCACTTGTTGGATACGAGATTGGTTAGAGCCAATTCAGCGCTATGTGCCTTGTTGCCTACTTACCTTCTCATATCCAACGTGCACCCATGGAATAATTGTGACGGTGCCCCTAACCCCAAATATGTTTTTTCGATAAAAGAAATATCCTTGTCCTACTGATGACAAAGTCGAACAAGTTAATGTCGCATCTATTTTGGTTAATTATTTCATGAATTTTCAACGATCCAAAAATTGCCCTCCTTCATGTTCACGTAATGCGAACAGTTTTCCGAGAGCGAAGCCCAGGGAAAACTGTGAGCTTCAAAAAACAGTAGATGATGTCCAAATATGCGCGAGCAAAAATTTTTGATGGATTATTAGACTGAGGTATTACATTTAACAAAGTTTAATTACCCAGGTACCGATGACGGGAAAACCTTCAAGTCACCAAACATTAAATCTGTCCCCCAGCAGCCAATAAGAAACATAACAACAAACACTCATAAACTGGGATCATTCCCTGGTCAGGGAGATCGCGGAGTCACGCAACCGTTTGGTCAGATTGAAATACAGCTCATGCAGACTTCCGGAGAATGCAACGGAAAGCCTGGACGTCCTCCTTTCCCTGAGAAATGTAAGTAAATGATTTCTTTTCCTTTCCTTAAGCCGTGATTTTTATTCCTCTTGATACAGTAGATCGTTTTATGGTTGAGGGTCCTAAAAGCATAATCAATAAACACAGACATTCAAATACCCTGTGCGAGTGGGATAATGAACAGCTATCGTAATTCATTGACCATTTGCCACAGCTTGATCATCTTGCAAAATGGTAGCCTGCCTGTCAGGAAACTAGATACAAAACTCTGACTCACGACCAGTCGTCTCTCTACTTTTAAATCTTAACGTGGGAAGTGCTCTAGAGGTGCACGCGGGGAAGATGGGAAGGGAAAAAACTTTAGATGTCTCCCTCTCTTTTCTTCCTTCCCATCGTCCCCTTCGTCGTGTCAGTCCTCATCTCCTTCGACTCCGTGGGATGATGGAGATAGGTCTGTATGAATCGTCATTATGGTAGGTTAGGTTATAAATTCGTTATTTTCTCTTTTGCATAAACAGCTCCAAAAGTTCATTGCAAAGTTTCTCGCTGGTCGGAATGGAGACCCTGCTCGGTCACCTGTGGTACTGGAGTCCAGCGCAGGGGCCGCGCGGTAATCCAGAAGCCAAAGAATGACGGGATTCCTTGTCCTCAACTGATAGAGTCAAGGGCTTGTATCCAGCCCACCTGTATTGGTAGGTATTGAGGTCGATTTAAAATGTTAAAAACCAGAACATTGCGATTGAAGGATTAAATGAAAATAGTTTTAGACTTCTCTTTCAAATGCAATGCTGTAACCACACGTTTTAGCCACAGTTATTTGAACTGCAACAAACTTCATTCACAGTGTTCAGAGTCACATACAGCAGAATACACTCGTCAATCACAAAGGAAAGTGCAAGCATTTTACAGTCGATTCTCAGCCCAAACCAAACACTACTACATTGAGATAGACTATTTTCTCCTCCAAATCATGCTTAATCCTTCAACTCCTAAGATCAAATTGTTGATTCTCCCCTCTAGCTGCTACACATTTCTTAGCATATTAGTAACAAGCATTTGGTGTTAGATCAAGATAACAACTTCTACATGTACGAGATAAGTTTGAGTATTCTCATTACCTGTTAGCTGGATAATGTATGGATATTATAAGGAGAAATTACTTGTTAATCACTAGAAGTGTCCTTCCTTACAGAAATCATTCATATGTGAAGAATTCAATGGTGGTGAACAGATCAACTACTTTTTCTTATGTAGGTAAACCAGTCAATTGCAAACTCTCCCCTTGGTCCTCCTGGAGTGAATGTCGTGGTTCATGTAACAGGGGTGGACAATTTCGCTCGCGCAAAATTCTACAAAAAGCAGAACATGGCGGAAGTCCATGCCCAGAATTCAAATCACTTATCAAATGGAGGCGGTGTAAGCTGACAAAATGCCCGCCAGAGAAACATAACGGTGAGATTATGTTATGGCAAATAAATCAATAAAAACGAAAAGCAATCAGGTATTAAACACCGAGAGTATTCCCATCAAGGCGTATTCCTGCGCTTCACCAAATAAGTGTGTCTATTTTTTTATTCTCATTAACTTTTACCTCTGACCTACCATTGTGATTACTTCAGTTTTGACGTTACGGCAACCAATAGCTTTTTTTAAAGCTAGGAACGCATTCGTTCTTAGAACTTTTAGAAAAAATTTTAAAAAATCTGTAGGAAAAAGCTGTGATGTCACGTTGACTTCACTGACTTTAACCTGTGATGAGGCGTCTCTCTTTTGAAGGGGAGCACTATATTGTAGAAGCGCAAAAGTTTGTGCGCTTATTAGTAACCTTCAACTCAAATCCTACACTTTTACGCTCATCCAAAACAAAGAACGCCTGATCGAAAGTAACGCAGACCTTTCATTTCTTCATTATCGTCAGACTGCATAGTAACAGGATGGTCACCTTGGTCAGAATGTACTAAAAAGTGCAACAGAGGAAAAAAATTACGAGTAAGGAAGATCATCAGAAGCGAAAAGAATGGTGGAGCAAGTTGTCCGAAAAAACTCAGGGAAAGGAAAAAGTGCGTTCCCGTCAAGTGTCCTGGTGAGTTCCTTGTTGTCAGCGGTCTGGAAAACTTATTTCCGTTAACGCTTATTGTTTGTGGGATGAACTAGTAAACCTATTTAGTTACTGGAGAAGACGTTTTCTTTTACAGCATAACTATCAACTTTTGAAAGTTATTGTCGTATTAGGAGGAAAAAAATCCATATCACTGTTTTTAATATAAAAAAAATGGTTCAGGTTTCATGGTTGAACACAACCCAACGAAAAAAACTATGTATATATTTCAAAGAAAAATGCTGAGATCAGGATTTGAGCTTGGGTTCCTGCGGCCATTGTGCAGTGTCCTAACCACTAGACGATGGGAGCAGTGAGTGTTGATTTGTTAAAAAATAATCAGGAAGATCCTTAGGCTACGAGAGGAAATTGGCAAATTTAAACTTCTGTAAAGGCCAATCTCTTTGGTATAGTCCACTTTTTAATTCCTTGCTTCCGCGCCCCCCTTCCCCCCCCCACCCTCTTTTTCCTAGTCATTTCGTTCATGATCGTCTCCTTACGGTTTCCCTTTTTTTTTAGTGTGATCGCTGACTTGGAAAGCTAAGAAAATAAATTTGGTCGAACTCGCAAGAAGTCCAGTGGTCTTGCATGAAGAAAGGATCCGCATAAACTACTATGAATGGTTCAAGAGCTGCTCAAGACAAGCTTGTATAAAGTTATTTATTAAGACTTTCAACCGATGATAGGTTGACTGTCCTCATAAAAGTGTTTATTTGTGTTATCGACCACAATCTAAGTTTACCACTCACCACTTCAAGCGTGAGAGCGAAGTCCAGGAGCTGATGGGGAAAGTTAAGGAATCATGCAATTTCTGCACTAACCAGACGAAAGTAATGCTGTTACGGAATCCACCAAGGTCATTGTGGAATTTGAGCAATGCAAGGAGATACGCCTAAAGATGGAAAATTGGCAATTCTCGCGGTTGCATAATTTTTGCTGTTTTTGGGTATAATATCGCGAGCTAGGTTTGCTTAAATTGTATACGTGTGACCGTACCCTCCCCCACTAAAGAGTAACGGAACACCTTCCTTTCTCCCTGGGGGGGAGAGAGGGTGCGGCTACACGAAGGTTACTCAAATCTGTTGAGTGAACTGGAAAGGTACATCTCAGATTTCTTTGGCATCATTTCAGTGTAAGCTTTTTTTGATGTTACAAGTCTAGCAAGAGGTGCAATCAACGAAGTTCAGTGAATTATTCAAGGCTAAGCGATCAACATATTGATTTGAAAAAATATGTACTTATATCCAGGCGGTACACAACAGTTTACAACACTATTTATTCGACCAAAAAAATTATAACCAGCACCAATTAATAGTAAAATATATTGTTATCCGTGAAGTAGCCAAACATTAATTAACACTCCAGACAGGATCACTGCAAAATTTAGGGTGCCTGTTCCGAATGGTATTTTTTTGGACTAATTTTGCATGAAGTTTTATCAATATGATCTGATTCTAATTCTTTGATAAAAATGGCGTTCTAACAGCTAAATCTTGAGCTATAAGCACAAACAGCTGAAAATTAATGTGTTTAAGATGAATCCAATCATGCAGGCATACTTCAAAAATAAAAGTTGTAGAAAATACTAGTTCAGGAATATTGAAATTTTAATTAATGACCTTCCAACAATTGCGTACTCTTTTACAACTTGATTGCCCCATTTCTCTCATGGTGATATATGAGAGAGAAGTAAAGGACATTTTCTATTGTATTTTCCTAATAAAGAGCTCCAGCCAGTCTTATTCTGAGGTCGTTTCTTGCAGAATCTCAAAAATTCTTGTGAATAGTTTTAAATTCTTGGAAAATATAAAATAGTCGGTTATGCTATTGATTAGATCATATGTGGGCGAGGATCAATAACAGCATGGAAAACCTGCTCGCCTCTGAAGCTTTCTCCAACTCTAATTGGCTTGAACTTAATTATCATATTATGTGTTCATTATCGAATACTTTGGTAGAAGACGCCAACGAGAAAATGCCCGAATGAAATGCATCCTGGTCAGCCAAAGTGGACCTCATCCCTTACACCGGCGTTTCCCATTGCGCATGGTGTGAGCTACCACAAATAAGGGGAGCTAAGCAAGAATAGGTCTGGGCTCTAAAATCCTTGTTCAATGCCGATCAGAAATAAAAAAAAAAGAAAAAAAAAAGTGCCGCTCAACGATGTCAATGATGCTTTTGTCGATCTCAGAACTATCGTTTAAAATCTGATGCGGTGAAAATTGGAGGTAAAATCATACGCATTAAAGAACATTAATTAAGTACCAACATTGAGCAAGGCGAGAGATGTAATTAGATTCCTTCATACTCTGTGTTGTGGATCGCGACAAGTGTGTGCTAGTCGATGCTGGTTGATGTTTGCCTTGAAAAGGATAATTGTTATGAACATAATTGCTATAAACCAATTCTTCAATTCTTCTGGCTTTCATTTCTTTTCTTCCTTTTTTTTCTGTTATCCATATTATCGGGGCATTGATATTCGAAATTTTTAACAGTAAGTGTCAAGTGACAACACACGCGTGTCGGAATCGTCTTCTATCAAACAAATCATACCCCTGCTAAGAGGTCGTCTCAGTCAGCTTTTTCATCACTTGCCTTCGTTGAACGCGTCATATTCTCAGAACAACAACATCAAACTGAGGCTTCGAAAATTCCGTATCCCCTTCCACCCCTACGCTAAATTGTCTCCAGTCATAGATATTACGCAATATATTGCACACAAGAGGTAAAAGGAGCAGCTGTGACTAGGGAAAAAAAAAAAAGGAATGACAGAATGGCTCCCGCTGAGTATAAGCATTTGTAAATCGCCTATCAGACGCTTGTCGCGTGCCCGTTGCTTCGTGGAAGAAGAAATATTTGGCCTCGGAGCAGAACAACATCAGAGTTTTGTCGTCGTTGTTGTTTTAATCTCATTCCGTCCTTTAGTAATGACTTCTAGCACACCTAGAGTTGATTCTTCTGCTTCTGTGAGTATGATTTGACTGCGACAGGCTAACTGCGGCTTTTCGTAGACTCAGGCCGGTTGGTCTGCGATAGTTATCAAATATAACCTGGTGATTTGAAGCAAGGAGGTCAAGGCCATGAACTGACTGATGCCGATATTCATGGATATGTTCTACTCAGTTATCCAGTCAATCCACCATACCAAAGATCTAGTCAAGCAAATTTTTTTTATTTTAGCTAACAGTACCGTGGCATAGGATATATTAAAAAATAACTGGATATTTAGCTTTCTTTCACTGAAGTCTGTTGGCTGTCAAGCCGTGTTTGTTCTCATAACAAAGTGTATACACATGGAGGGTTGTTAAATAACACACATTCCTTCGCGAGAGACCTGATTGTTTGATTAGATGAAGCGACCGCTGTCCTAAACGTGACAAACATGTTGGGAATGTTTAAAATGTACCTCATTCACTGTCAATAACTACAGCGAACTAAGCTTCTTTTATGCTAACGATTTCAAACATTCTTAAGAAGGAAGAAAAGCGACTCACACACGAATATTTGCAATGTTCTATCAAAGAATTACACGCCGAATATTTTTTCCTTGAGGAACGCGAGCTTCCATATTCCGGACGGTCAGCAAGTATCCCGGATTAGGCCATGTTCAGTGCTTGAAAATGACAAATTCACCTGGGCTTTCGTTCTGCGAAACCGTCTTCAATCGTAAATAAATTGTTTGCAGCGATGCACCCGGTTTTGGTATCCGCGGAATGTAAACTCCGAAGTAGGGGTATTTTTCTAATTAAAGTTTGATGCCGGCACCCTCGTAATTGAAGGACAGCAACAGAAGCTCCATCCAATTCACGCTAAACTTCTGTTATCCACACTTAATAGGCCCCTTGAGCGCATTCCTAATATGGAAAGTGATCAACTTGACCCATTGACTCAGTTGTACAATGGATACTGGCAAATTCCCGCTGAAATGTGCAGTGGAAATGAGTCGAGAGGGAGGAAGGAATTCCATTCAGTTTTTCCGGTTGGAATTTTCTTGAAATGCTCGCCATGTCGATGTTATGTCAATTTAAGCGAAGAGGGCAGATAAATACATGCATATTGAAAAAAGGCAAGGACTCTACACAATACTTGTCGTATGAAGAATAATTTTAAATCACACTATTTAACCATAGAGACTGGTGAAATACAATTTTCAGGGTTCTTGTAACATATATATATATAGATATGAGAGCTTTTGTTTTCTTTTCCAGAAAATTGAAGGGGGAGACTGAAAACAATTGTGCGGACCTGTTAATACTAATTTACTCCGCTAAAACGTTTAAAGATAGTTTGGAAAAATTTATTATAAATGGATTCTAGAATATATTTCAATTTTGCTTTGTTATCATTTGAAGATAAGAAAATCTGTGACTTTCAAGTTGACGCTTGCTCTTAAGTGACGTCACGGTTGCTAGGTAGCGTTATTGACAATTCTTAAGAGTCGTCATTGGTTCTCATCTCACCTACGATCTGGTCACGTGGCCTCATGCTCGGTCCTCGGGCTGGTCGGTGTGTAACGTCATGGGAAGATGGCGGACCCTTTTACGGGTGGCCAAAGCTCTAGGGCAAGTAATGCTTTACAGAAGCGTCAAGAATCCTTAAAAAGATGGAATAAAAGCGAGACAGCCTTAGAATCTGCGGACAGATCTAGAAAGAAGACCAAAATTCAATTTTCGCTCGGAACTGTGTTCCTTTCGGCGGTATCGAGCGGTGACGTGGAGGAGGTGAAGAAACTTCTGACCAAAGGCGCAGATATAAATCACCAAAATGTCGATGGACTTACCGCGTTACATCAGGTAAGGTATCTGACATTCCTGCCAGAGATAGAAAAATTATATTTGAAGCAAGAGTAGCTTGTGCGAGAAGGTTTTGTAGACCAGGTCCGGGGTCCTAGGCAGAACCCAAAACAATAGCCTAATTAAGGAATCACTCGCTCCTTAAAACATCGAGTGATTACAGAGCTTGCTTCGGGAAAGCTAAACTTCTCGGTGCTGATTCCTTTGAATTCTTACTTGACCAAAGTTAGGCATTAAATCAGTTATAACCCTGGCAGTTATTTTTTGGCCAGGCAATTCTCAAAATGCTTGTTAACGCCTCGAACTATTAAGACCAAGTCCAAATGGTTACAAGGAAATTTATGTCGATTTCTAAGCTCTAAATCACAACCAATCTCTGTATATTCCTCTCAACAATTTCAGTGTTTTTTATTCTTGTGATATAAACTCTTCCAGCCGAAACATTCCTTATCATTTCTTGTCTCATATGCCTTCAAGTGAGCAGCTTAAAGCCGAGGGCAACCTAGTATTTCGGGGTATTCAAGTGATTTTCAAACTAATCACTTTCCGTCGTGTATATTTACATCTGTTCGTAGTAATGTAGGCTTTTAACTGTTGTTTGTGTTCTTCAGGCTTGCATCGACGAAAGTTGTGATCTCGTTGAATTTTTGGTCGATAATGGAGCCCGATTGGACGTACGAGACAACGAAGGCTGGTCGGCCTTACACGCTGCAGCCAGTTGTGGGAGCGTTGAAATAGCACAGTGAGTTTGTGTTTGCTTTATACATTTCATTGTAATCTTCTCTAAAACCGGCCTGGCATTAGGTTTGAACTGGGCTTGTTGAGAAGCTTTTATTGTTAGCGGCATTTCATTCACATTTAACACAACTAGCCTAAATCTGTGGTCTGTGTCAGTTCCAAATTTGTATCGCGTTTCAAAACATGCAAGGAACTCGGTGCAAATTTTAGAGGCTTCTTCTTCAATGTGTGAGGTTTGTGAGGTCTGAATCGCTGAGGTATATTTGTGATTTTGCTTTGAGGCTTTTCCAAGCTGAAAGAAGGCGATACACCTTTCTCCTACCAAAGAAGAGAGGTCATAATAAAATTACTCTTCAATCGATTAGAATCTCTTGTCAGTCGGAAAATTTATATCGAATGGCCGAGGTTGTATGAAATACCTTTGAAGTGCTGTATCCCTGGCGTTCGTTTTTTGACCTAGTGTGTAATTTTTCCTTTAATCTTTTGTTGTCTTTTCCGTGGTACGGTACGGAAATGTTCTAAGCAATGTTTGTCTTAAGAAGGATACTAGATCAGTCGTTTATATCTTCAGAAGTATGTATGTGTGTGTGTAAGTCGCTGTGGCTTAAATTCATTAAAACTTGCTTTGATGTAGTCGTTTTATTTTTCGTTTATAATTTTAGGGATTTAGACTTTGACGCTCTTGAAATTTATATTCAAGTGGCCTTTACGTTTCACTTTAACCAAGTGTTGTAACAATTTTTGAGTGGTTGCGAGATGGTCAAATTAAAAGCGTGACTTGCATAGTACGAAACCATGTACACTCACTTGTGGAGACTTGTAGTTTCAAGATCTACCAACCGACCATGCAAATCCGTGTGAATTTTAAGTCATTCTTATTCTCAGTTACAACTGGAAAATCGACCAGACTATTTTCGGAATCATGCACTGTGGAAATTTAAAACACAGCTTGTGCACTCCTATCGTGGCTCATTTATCTTGGGTCAAATCTTCTGTTATGTATAATTTCATGAGTGAGTTAGACACAAGTTTCGAGCTGTTCGCTTCCCAAAATCATACAGTTTTTGTTCAAGGCTGGTTTTGCAGAGTTTGTTGATAAGAAACTTTCAATTGAAACTTCGGCGGTGAAATATTTTTATAGAGAAATCCAACTATTCCGGAAACAGCGTGCCTACTACGAGTGAAACTTTGTGGGATAGAGCATATTGTCTTAGATCATAAACCTTGATACCTCGTGGTTCATGGTGTTTACTCTTACTCTATAACTAACATCCAAGTTACACGAAACAAATATTTGTAATGGACAAAAATAACTGTTGGTTTCCTGGCACACCGAATCAACCTCAGCAAATTAGTTTGTTTCTACGGAAGACCTTTTTAAATCAATTGCTTTTCCGTTATTGTTCATGTTTGAAACTATTTGCACTTTTATTACTGAACTTTTGGTAGTGGTATTTATTTTCGTCAAAACACACATGCACAATACGTCATTTTCTTTTCTCAGTGTTTACCAGTGTTACTTTGAACTGAGTACTATTCATCCTTTGGTGCACTTGATCTCATGTCTACATAATCAGCTCAAACATAATCATAACACCTTTCATGAAATTTCAAGTAAGTTTTATTTATTTAAAAGTTTCCAGTTCGATGTAACAGGGTCAAGCAGTATATATTATTCATTTTAACATCATTTTTGTATTTAATAGTTGTATTTAATTTTGGATATCCAGGTTTTGATTATTGATACTTAAATTTGGTTGTAAATATCTCCCTATGTTGCAACGAATAATTTTTTAAACAAATTTTCATCATTTTGATTTTGAAAATATGTGGTTTTCCTCACAGTCTGGATTGACTGAAATGAAAATTATCACACAATGATTTTCTCAAAAAAGTTTCATTTTGAAAGGAGTTATGTAGCAATTGTGTTTCAAGGTTGTAACATTTCTGAAATCTTGTACTTTTGCTGCATGGACTTAAATTTTTGGCTTAGAGCAACAGATTTCAAGCAGACCAAGTAGATCAATAGAGAAAATAATTAAAACAAGTCATGTTATCAGTTGAATGCAACAAGTAAAGTCATTAAGTTGGAAGTGTTTTAATTGTTTACTTCCAGTTCAATATTTAAACTGAGACTCTATTTATAACAATAGTTTTGTTTAGGCAGATAAAGTTGTCCTGATCTATCAACTTTGAGGCAGATTTTTTCATTTTTTACATGAAAAACCACATATAAAAACCACATGTATAATTAAAATTAGGAGAAGTTAACTTTAAAAAAAGGATGGTATCTGTATATTGGATCACCATTCATGGTTACCAGGCCTGTAGATAATGTTGAATGTTAAAAGAAATATACATATGTGTTTCACTAAATTGAAGTTCATCCATGAATTAATACAAGTGGTAATCCATGCATACAGGTTCTTTTTTTCTTTAAGTTCTGGAGTAGAGAGGCATTGCCAAGAGGTAGACAGATCTGTGCTTTAACATTTAGAGTTGATATATATCATCATCTCGGTAATGTATTCTACATTGAATTATGTGAGGTTCACCGTCTTAAAGATACTTTCTTTCAGTTCCAAGTATTTCCATAACCAGCTAATGCAGTATAGCTATTTTAAAAATCAAGTTTTTCACACTAATCATTCTAAGCAGTTGTGTACAATGGGTGCTATCACATTGGCTTTTTCCACCTGGGGTGTTACCGTTTTTCTGAAAATTTTAAGATGAAATTCAGTTCCTAAAAACCCTTTATTTTAAGTCTTATTTCTTCTACATAGGATAACTGACCTGAAAAATTACAAAAGGGATTCTTTTTATTTTATGTTACCAAGAGATAATTAAACTACAAACTAGTATCCTTATGCTCAACTGTTTGAGGATTTTTTTCCTCTGGAGTGTTTTACAGTTTGGTAAGAACACTACATGTATCCTCCTGGTTTTTTATACCAGTGAACAGCTCCTGCGATTTTTTTTTATTCTTTTGAGGCCTAATAAGCTTATTAGGAATTTTGTATCTGAAGTACACAGTTTCAGATTTTATACGCTGGCATGTAATTAATGATTTAAATGACTTTTTGTGTCAGTGGTTGCCAAAGATGGATTAGGCAGTATTTAGAATGCCAGTATCTGCCATTTGTAAAAATCTGGGGATAAAACTGAGGTTTAATCTAGAATTAAAGTTGTAGGGAATGGACAGAGGTAGTGTGCAGCAGTACCTTGGAATTTTCTCGAATAGCTCTACTTAAAGAAAAAAAAGTGATATTGATATTTTGAGCCAATATATACATGCACTCAGAAGCTATGTTAAGTTATATAATACTTAGTGGTTATCTGTTGGAAAATAAACAATTGTTTTTGCCAGGGATATAAAAACAAAGGGAAATAAAATTATGAGGAGTTTATTCTTTGATTGGAAGAAATTTAAACTAAAATCACTTTTAACAGACACCAACATTTAGAACAGGGTAAAAATTCCAGGTAAATGGTGAAAAAATGAATAATTTTCTTGAATAATGTCACTCCACAAAGGTTGCATTATATGTAAATGTATGGTATCTGTGATAACTTTTATGATAACAGTTGCGCTGAAAAAGTGTTTCCACAATTTTTTCAGGATTTGGCTTTTGTTTCATTTTGAGCGTTAACTTCATATGATATTATACGTATGTGTTGTTCTTTTTCTAACTACAATAACAAAAGCACTCAAGGTTAACTCCTTTCACTTTAATTGATTCATCACTCTCAGAGAACCTTGTGAATTCACACAGGTTTGGAAAGTGTTTGGAAATACATGTACCTTTTCCTTAGTTGCTGGAATTCTTATTTTTAGGGTATCACACTTTCAAACTCCCAGAATTGTTCATAGAGGATTTTACAGTCTTAAAAATGTTTCTGGCAACAAAGTAAAAAATTTAAGATTAGTATAACTTTGGCTTGACTTAGTGTACACTCATTAACCTGTATTGTTTTTAATCGCCTAACTTTTGATCTGATTACAGAGACAGACATGATCATTGTATGTGCATATGTTTCTATAAATCAGAGAGAACAAATTGCAATTGTAGCATAGCTAAGAGACCCTCTTTTGAGGGATTATTGACTGGTATAGGAAGGATGTTCCACTCTTGTGCTGAGAGCACTTTGTTGGCAGAGTTTTCATTTGGTAATTAGTCACTGAGGAAAAGTGTTAAATGACACAGGAATAACGACATCTCACCCCTTGACTTCTGTTAAAAAATCAGGCAATTTAAATATAGGTGGATGATTGTGCATGAAAGTCAAAGAATTTACTGATCTCCAGAGCTTGATAAACACTCTGATTCTTCCGGAGGGATAGTCCTACTTTTGTGTCTCAAAACATGAAAGGATGATGGAGAGGCCAGTGTGAGAGTTTCATAAATATCACAGAAATGTTTCTTATGCCTTAAAGTCAAGTCACAGAAAGACATTCCAAAACAATATGGTGTAGATATTCTTATATTTCATATTATGATTAAATTAGGGAAAAGCGATCTAAGTGAAGGCCTTAAGACTAAATTTCAAGCATTATTTTTCTTCAGGTTTTGATTATTTTATAGAATTATAAGTTGCAAACTTAGTACTGAAAGTGTTTCTACTTCATGTACACTCAAAACATGATTCTGTTTTGTTGATTTGTAGATGTTTACTTGATCATGGAGCAGATGTGGCAGCTGTTAATAATGAAGGGGAATTACCACTGGATCTTGCAGAGGAAGATGACATGGAGGATCTTTTAACAGAAGAAATTGAAAGATTAGGTATGTAGTTAAGAAAGAAAGTATTTCTTCCATCTCAGAGTTGAGACTCTTTGGTGCAATGGCATATTATCATAGCATGAAACCTAAAGGTCTGGGGCTCTATTCTTTCTTTGGGGGAAGGGGGCTCAGTTATTTCCTTGGTCCCATGCTGATGATAGAATCAAGCTCTGTTTTCTTAATCTATGCAAGTACACTGTGTTTGACTAGACTGGGTTCTACTGTAATGATTAGTTAACCTGCCATTAGTAAGATTGTCTGCTCAGTCTTTTCAATGGAAAAATAATAAAACAAATTTTGAAAACTCTTTTGTAATTTTACAAAGTTCCATTTTTATTAATCTCTGGAATTTAAGAATTGGCCTATTAGTTCTCTAAACTGGACTACCTGTAGCCTGCCAGTTCTTTTTAATGATTAGTGTCCCAAGATTCCATGTCTCTGTCAAAGCCCCAATTTGTTTTTTGGCTTTAAATTTTTGCTCGCATTTTGCATGATTGATGGTATGTTCTCTACTTTGATAACTTTTCCCTTTGTCACCAGCCCGTGTCAAAGCAAAATTACTTCTGAGAAGGAGGGAATTCACCTTAGTTCGCTCTTTTTGAAAGTAAAAGCAAATTTTGGTATTGAGATTTATCAATTGAGGTATTCAAGACAAGTTTAAATGTTTAGTGCTCTGAGTAGGTTGCCATGGTGGGAATCAAATGTTTTGGACAACTTTATCATGGAGGTATTTGTTTTTGTGAAAATATTACTCAAGAGATAACACGAGGTAGAATTGTTGGTTGAGATTTTGAATAAATGTAGATCTCAAAGAGCACCCTTGTGGTGCAATACTGATCTCCTCTTTCACTTTTTAGCACATCAGGGTATCAATGTAGGTACATAAATCAGAGCTCAATTTTGTTCCTGTTTTGAGTTTTATTTTCCCTTGTTACTGCATGTCATAATATTTGGTGATGGGTTTGAAATAAACAAAAGATGTAGTCGGCATCATGGATGAAGTAAATCAGACAAAAATTATATGCTGTCCTAATTTACTATCAAATTACACATTCTGCCAAAAAGTTTGACCTTCCTTGTCTCATACAGTCATGCGTCTGGATTCTTTTCTTTTATCTTCTTGTATATATCAGTCCTTGGATTTGTTCTATTATTGCTAGTTATAAGTTTTCAGAGTTTTTATTTCCTGGCTCAACTTTTGGAGCCTAAAAAATGTGTCATGCATTTTTATTCTCCACCAAATGTTTTGTTAATTTGGAGATATTTCCTAAAGGGATCTTTGAAAATGTATTTGATGAGATTTACTATTAGGGCAGGGCAGGGGAGGGGCTAACGTCTTCGACCTTTTGATTTTGTGGTGTAGTGATTAGCAATATTAAGGAACCGCTGTACATGGTTGATTGCATTACCTTGCTAGTTCTTAACCCCTGTCTTGTTAAAATGATTCATACTCCCTTAAACAATCCTTCAATTGCTGTTTAGTGAAACTTCCAGTCAGCTTTTTGCAGTTCTCCCTTGTCATATCACCATTGCGTGAGCAAAATGGAAAATTATATTTTTGGAGTTTGGCCAGTTGGCTGTTGAAGCTAATAGAACACTCCACTAGATTTGGTGCTGCCATGTTTCGCTCTAAAAAGTGTAGGAGTGTAGGAAATGCCTTTTTACCATCTGTGATTACATTCTCACAGAACCACCAAAATACTCAACAGTGCAACAACAGTATGTGGGCTCAAACTGTGTCGAACTTTCACTTTGCACTAACTTGAACTTGTGGCCATTTCTTTAACAGTGAAGTTTCAATATTTGCTCTCTGCTCTCACAAACTCCAAGGTATCTTAAACTGATTTTCTCTTTCCATGGCGTAAGTCAATAACTGTTCATGTTGACTGCAAAAATTAAGATTTTTTTCTGGAGGAGGGGAGGTACAGTCAGTAGTACAAGTACAGTACAGTCAATAACAGTTAGTAATACAAGACTCACCAGATACAACTTGTATATTTTACAACAACAAAAAAGATGTACAATATACAACCATTAAAAAAATTGATGTGGCATAAGTGTACATGTAGATACATGTAGAGTTTTTTGGCCCCACATGAGGTATTTCTCTTATTTTCCAGCTTTGTCATGTGGTTAATACATATATAAAGTCTGTTTATTAAGCTGTAAGATGTTAATGATGGAAAGCTAACCTTGTAGCTCAGTGGTATTGGTAACTAATGAATTAAACTAATGAATTAAAATTTGAGGTCCAAGTCTTTACTCATATGGCTTTATTACCTTAAAACTTTTGATTATTTTAGCCCTTTAACTCCCAAGATCTGATTGGTAATTCTCTCCTCTAGCTGCTTTTACATTTCCTTGTAAATTAGTTGCAAGAATTTGGTGTTAGATCAAGAAAAACAACTTCTTCCTGATAAGTCTGAGTATTCTTACCTTTTTGATGATGATGCATGGATATTAAAAGGGAGAAGTTTCATGTGAATTACTTATTGGAGTTGAAGGGTTAACTACTGTACCAGCAGCCTGATGGTTCTGAAGTTGTTGTGATCAGCCAATAAGTGACAGATTAGGAAGACTACGAGCACCCCCACCACAGCACAACTGATTGACTGCCCAACTATGACATGAAGGAAGTCCCACAGTGGGCAGCATTTTAAATATCTATTGTAAAGATTGTGGGAGTCTGATGTTAGTTTTGTTTTGGCCTGTAAATTGTTTTTTTATTGTGATGAAAATAAATGTTCATCTTATGCCTTCAGGAATTGATGTTGAAGAAGCAAGAAGTAAAGAGGAGAGAATAATGTTAGAAGATGCTCAGAGTTGGATGAATGGTAGAACAATAAATGAAATTAAAGATAGATCAGGTGAAGTTATGGCACAACGTTTTTACTTCTAAGTGAAAAGGTAATCCAAACCCCTTAGGCTTTATTCATCAAACAATACAGTTGTCCTTAAGGAAGAAAGGGAGGG